AATAAACTTGTAAGTTTGTCTACAGTAAGCAATGATATGAATACAAATAATCCCTTTTACCTCACTTCTATCAGCTAGCAGAAAAATGGGTTAAATATAAAAATAGGTTCATCATACAAATAATGAATTACAATTTCACTTACAAATTTTTTTAAGAGACCATTGAAAACATGTTTTTTTGCTGATCAGAGTTGCCTAAAAGAGATTTGGAGGAGAGAGGAGGAAGATCGGAGTCCTCACGGTGGCTGTTCAGTGGGGCTAAGTGTGCGGGACTGACTGGCAGGAGGAGGGTAGAACCATTCATCCCTGAGGTTTACTCATGTCCCGTTCCGAGAAACGTTATGTCACCGCACTTGCCCCTCCACAAGGAAACGGTTGTGACCCATCATTTAAACTCATAGGCAGAGCAGTGTGATGGGAAAGCTCACATCGGCCATCTCTTTGTGTTCCCTTTGCTTGCAAACATATACCTCTTGGTCATGTGACGCTGCGCTCATAAACGCATATTTTAGTGGAATGCTTCTGCTGATGTCTTCTGTATGATTTAAACTTTCTTTAAAACTTTTTGAATTAAAAAACTTAGTCAATTAATCATTAAGATTATTTTCTGGGATTGACTCCTTCCAACAACTCTGATCATCATTTGCAATGAGTTCTTTGGCAGTATATTCTCTGCTACCTAAGGCTGATAGTCCTTCATATTTTTCAAAGTACATATCACCAAATCAAGACTCGTTTAAAAGATCGAGGCAGGGTCCTTTGTTTTTGTTGTTGGTGGTGGTGTTTCGCCTTGCACCTATCATTTCCATGAAACTTTGGAAGCCGGCCATAAATTGCCCCTGTCTCATAGGAGAAATTTTCACTTAATAATGTGGAAAAGACGATTCCAACAGTTAAAACTAAACTGCGACAATGTGGGTGGGAGACAAGATCCTGGCGGGAAGCAGCTGAGAGACAACTGCAGGGCGCTCTGGCCCCTCCCCCAGACTCACAGTGTGTTTGCTGGTGGGCATAGCCAGCATTGCTTCCACGGAGTTTCAAGTCAAATATTGAATTTCGGGTGAAACTGTTTGCAAGCTGTTGATAGCAAACATTCAAAGTGTGGGAGTTCAAATAGTGAGGGATACCTTGAGGTTAAACATCCTCTGAACTCTTGGCTATTCCAAAATATAATGATGAGTCGAAAACTGCCTAGCAGGGCGGGAAGCTACACATGCCTAAAAGAAGACACTGTAAGTTTTAAACTCATACTAAGAAGCCTCCCCTCTCCATGTTTTGGAACTTGAGGGTGTTAAATCCGTTTGTTCCTTTTTTTTTTTTTTGCTTTGCAATTTCTCATTATATCTTTACCTGTGCACTCTTTTTCTTAAACACAATGTTTTATATTATCTTATTAAAAATGATATATTCTATAACTGCACTGTCCAAAATGGTAACCACTAGCCACATGTGGCCATTTAATTATAGGAATTAAAATTAAAATGCAAAATCCATCCTCAGTCGGGTCTTGTCCCGGGGCTGGGGTGATGCAGGCAGAAGGGAGGAGGGGACGAACAAAGAAAAAAGTGTAAAATTCAGCTTCTCCAACACGCCAGCCACACTGCAAGTGCCTGACGGCCATATATGGCTAGTGGCTGCCACACTGGACAATGCAGACAGTGAACATTTCCATCATCACAGAGTGTTCTCTTAAACAGTACTGCTTTCTAAATAAACCCTTTGCAAGAAACCACAGAGTGATTGTCAAATATATCTCAGTTTGCCCACAATGGCATGACCCATTTCCCAGAATTGCCTTGACACATGAGAATAAAATGAATTGTTGTAAATTCCATAGTTTACCATAAAACACACTCAATGCTCAGCCACGGCCCTTCCCATCCCCCTCCCCTCCCAACATCTGTCGGACCTTCACTTAAGGCTGTAGTCACATCACTCACAGGAGCACAGAATGCAGGCCTTGTATGTTCATGGGTCAGTGTTCAGAAGGGACTGAAGTAGGGAGACTTGGCCAAGAAGTAATTTCATCAGGGAGATCTTTAAAAACCAAGCTGGGACTTCTCTTCAGATGGCCCGAAGGATGAAGAGGGAGAAGTAATATTTTAGTCTCCAAACCTAGAAGAACAGTGTAAAAAACAAAACTATCCCTTCAGCTGTGGGGAGTATGCCCAGCGATTAGCTCTCAGCGTGGAGCTGTGTGCCCTGTCCAGAAATTGGCTCCTGCTAGAGACAGATGCCTTCTGTAAAGCCAAGTGTCTTTCCCAGGGGCAGCGTGCAACCGGGAGTGCAACCGGTCAGTGGAATCATAAAGTCCAGCCCCCTCACCTTCACTCTGAAGGTCCATCCAAACTTTAGAGCTCCCAGTGGAGTTGACATTCACTGTGACTACATCTCGCTCTAACTTCTCCCTGCCTGCTCCTGTGTTCTTCCCTTCCCTCCAGTGTTTATCCTGAGAGCACCCGGGAATCAACCTCCTTCATCTGCATTTGATCTTCCTCTCATCAGTCTGCATGCTTTGGAACCCATTTTTTTACATACGCACACGTACCTATCACCTATATTAGGAAACTTATTAACGTAATTTACACTATCAGTAGGTCAATAGAGAAAATCATGGAAATATCTCAATGAATGTTAAAATTTTTTTTCCAGCTTTACATCTCAGATAAAGGCCTTTAATGGGAGAAAAGTGTGTATACACTGATTTTAAAATAAACTAATTAATTGCAATCACCAGCATCACAGTTAATGATAAGATATTAGGTGCCCTGCAGTTAAAATAGAAAATAATTACACAACATTAGTTCACTTTTAAAAAGGTAACAGTAAATGCAATCATACAAGAGAAAGCAACAAGAGGTAGTTTTGGAAATAGGGCTCTAAAATTGCCATTATTTGCACCAGAGTCTGTGATAATCCTGGGGATACTCCGAGACAATCAAAAGTAAATAAAAATAATTTTTAAATACTGAAACAAGTGAATTAGCTGGTTATAAAGTTAATTTATTGTATTTCTCGTCACAGAAATAAAAGCTCTTTGAAAAATAGGGTAAAAGGATAAATTCTGATTTAGAATAGTAACATGAGAAGTTAAATTCTTAGGAACAAACCTGGTAAGAAATATATGTGCTATGTATGGAGAAAGACCTAATACTCCACTGCAGGACACAGAAACTGCCAGACATTTCTCAGTGCTGTAAGATTTTACACGCCCATCAACAGGGCATGGGAGTTCGGGCTGTTCCAAATCTTCCCTTGTTGTCTGTCATTTATTTTTTTATTTTAACCATTCTGAGTGATGTAGTGCTACCTCACTCTGATTTAAATTGGCATTTTCCTGATGACTAAAGATGTTCAGCTCACTTGCATGAGCTTTTTAGTCATTCATGAAATATCTGTTCAATATTTTTCCTATTTTTAGCAGGCTGTGTCTTTTTAATTATTCAGTTATAGGAGCTCTTTATCAGGAACAACAGTCCTTTCCCAGATACGTGTTTTTGTGCATTTTTTCTTCCAGTCCGTGATAGGATTCCCTCCTATCCCTTTCCCTCCCTCCCTTCCTTCCTTTCTCTCCTTCTTGCAGAAACTTTTACAGCTACATATTCCCTTCTAAGCACTGATTTAAGTGTATCCAACAAATTATAAGTAGTATTTTCATTGTCAATCAGCTTTTAAATTTTGAAATACTTGGACATAATTTAAACATCATATTGTTATTGATTTCTTAGGTAATCCAATTGTCAGAGAACATACGTAGTATAATTTCAATAATTTCAAATTTACTGAGACTAGTTTATTTTCCAGCATATTCTTTGTTTTCATGAATGTAGATGTGCATTTGAAAAAGAACACGTATTCTGCCTCTATAAGGCATTCTTTTTAAAGTATGAATTACATCACAATGGCTAACAGTGCTTTTCTGATCTTCTATATCATATGAATTTTTTTGTCAGGTTATTCTATCAATTTCTAAAAGAGTGATATTAAAATATCCAATTATTTGTCAATCCGTTTCTTTCTCTCTTTAGTTCTAACAATTTTTGCTTTATGCATTTTGCAGCTCTGTTATTAGATACACACATATATATCATTTTATGTTTTTCCGTAAAAAAAGAGTTTACTTTCTCCTTAAAAAGAGAGTCATACAAGAGGAAGATCATAATTCTTTCTCTAGACATTGTTGTTCCTGAGCGTAATTCATGGAACCATAAATCCATCTTTCTACCAAAATGAAGACACAGCCAGCACTGAAAATGGACAAGCAGAGGGATGGATGAGCAAAGTCGTGGTGCTAATCCACAGAATCCACCAAGTAGACTGCCCCAGACTCCTGTTATGCTATCCAACAGCTTTCCCTTTTTTTGGTATTCAGAAATGCAATATTTTAAGCTTTTATAGTTTAAGGTGATAGTTTTTCTTACAAGTAGGTGTTTACTGAGTTTCATAGATGATTTAGAAAATTGATGGGCTTTGGGATTGGTATATATTGCATTACATTTGTCTTACACATAAATAAAAAGGAAATGGGTGTGTTTTTAAACACAATGTTTTATTTTTAGGAATAGATGAACTGATATTCAGCTGGAGTTGCCCATGTCATATTATTCTGTAAGCACACGTAAGCGATTATACGGTAAAGGACCTGGGAGAATACAAAACAAAGCAGTAACAGTGTGTTGTAAAGGTGCTAGTGCTCACCCACGTGCCAGGGGCTCCACTGCGTTTCCCAGCCTCCCTCTACAGCGAGTTTAGGGCCACGTAATTGTTCCCGATCAAGGGACTGGGAAAGACAGTGACATGTGTCACTAATAATCTGGGGTATTTAAAGACAATGTAAATTCCATTTTCTCTCTTGCCCTGCTGTGGTGATTGTCTTACATATAAGAAAAAAAAAATATTTGGATAATTTCAACTTTAACTCTTTGGGTTGTTCTTCCTGAACAGAATACTACATCCAGGTTATTGTCGTAGACATAGCCTAGATAATCTCTCCCCAGGGGTACGTTTCCTGAAATTACAGAGCTGGACAGGAAAAAACAGCCCGGATGCCCTGAAGCCATGGGTGATTTATGGCTAAATGTCTGGGTGGCTAATGACTGCTGCTCACGGCCACTCAGACAACGCCACCTGCCTTTGGGCTCCCTTTTCTGTGTCCTTCTCCCCTGGACAGTGCCTGGCAGAGGTGCCCCTCCTCCCGTGCTCTCCCCTCTCCCCGGTGGCACCTGCCTTCAAAACAGTCCCTGCTGCCAGCGTGGATGAGGTGTAAGCCCTTGTTAGAGGGACTTTTGCATTTAGGCAAACCTCTAACTATTGGGACACAGCCCACATGGGAAGGAACAACATCTACTGCTCCCCTGGCAACATTGTCTTTCTTTCCTGCCCAGATGAAGTCATTCAAGCACTCTTTTTTCACTTTTAAAGAGAAGATTGGCCCATATGGTAGCAAATAACTACTGATTGACTTTCACATACGAACCATTTATTTTGTACGTTGACAGAAGAGAGACTTCCACAGGCAGGCACTTGGTGGGGTTCTTTTGCAGCTGAGAAGCTCAGCAGAGATAAAAAAGAAGAAGACCGTGGGGAGCTTCCGTTTTCTTTTGTTTTTCTCTTCGAGCTGAGCTGGAGAGTAATAGGTTTGAGCGGGGAGCCATCTGTTTCTCTTGACAGCAAATCAGGTAAGCTTAGATTTACAAAACGTTCTGATCTTGGTTTCTACTGGGCCCCAGGCTATGCTACAGTTTTAACTTTTTATTAGAAAAAATTTGCCCTATTTTAAGGGAAATAATTCAGAGTGACTTCCTTTAGCTTAAATGAAGCCAGGTTACAGGATAACTGTATATAATTTGCTCTACACATTACAGGCAAAGAGTTTCCTTAGCATTAAGCCAATAAAAAGCACTAACTAGAAAGAGTTTGGGCATTGACATGCGGTTACAAGTTTGCTGTGCTGGTAGGATGGTCTGTGCCTGCCAGATTTAAGCAAGAGAAACTATCTGATGAAAACGATGCTTTTCGCTGCATACGGACAGTTACTAGATTGCAAGGGCTCCACCACCGGGGACTGCCGGGAATGAGGAAAATTCAAGTAATTGATGGATCAAATGAAGTGTATGTCTGGTTTAAAGACTGTCTGCTTTCCAGGAGTCAGGCTGTTAATTCACTGAGTCAGCAAAGACTCGACAGAGACAGGAAGGGACCGGTTCGGGGCGGGCAGAGAAGAGGAAGCAGGTGAGGTGGGGGTGAGGGGAGAAAAGGAGGAGAGGACTGAGCCTCCCATGTGGGGACGGGAAGCCAAGCACGGATTCCGAGAGAAGTGAAGGGTGTGTGGCCAGAGAAAGCCAAAGAAGGTGACCAGGAGGATTTGTGAGAGGAAAAAAACACAGGAGAGCCGGGCATGGGTTTACAGATGAAACTCCCAGCTCTCTGGGAGGCCTGGGCAAGTGACTCCATATCCCTGTGAGATAGGAGTAGTAATTCTCTTCCCACCCACCTGTCCATTACAAGCAGGCAAAGGAAACGTGGTTGTCTAGAAATGTAAGGGTCTTTCGTGATTGAGAACCGAAAAATAAAGTTCCTTGTCTCTCTGTCCCTCAGGAACACCAATGGACCAAAATGAAAGCCGCTGTTCTGGTGAGAAAGGAACCTCCTGTGTCTGTGTAGTTGGTTCTTTCCGGTGATGTCTGGGCGAAATTTTAAACAAGTGGGTGGGGGGACAAGGGAACTTATTCTAACTCCCACCACTGCCACCGCCACCAGCTCAAAACTGCTAAAATATTCTATCAGGAGCCAAAACACGCACCCAAACGTTTCCCTTATACAGGGATCATTTAGATCTGCCTGGAATATTCCTTCTCCTGCCATTCACTCTTCTCTTCCCTCTCTCTCCTCTCTCTCCTTTCTGTAGGTTGTCTCTCTCTCTCTGTCTCTCTTCCCCATCCCCTCCCACCTTTCATCCTTCCCCTCCCCCCACCTGTCCCTTCTCTCCATCTGTGTGGGTTTCTCCCGGTTTCTGTCTCTGTGTCTTGTCCTCCCCGTTCCTGCCCCCTCCTTGCCCCTTGCCCTTCACCTCAGCCATCTTCAGTCTCTCACTCTAAGAAGAGCCCAGATCTCCCTCCCCTCCAAGTTCACTCACAACCCCTGTCTGTGAGAATGGGGGGGGTCTCTGGCTTATTGTGTCTGGATCTTGTTTATTGAATACGCTGAGCTCTGTGAGATCCAAATGAGAAGCAACTGTCTTCCCTCCCGACGCAGCTTCTAACTATGCAATCTTGACTTCTTAACTCCATCTTAGGCAGATTCCTTTCTGAGGAGCACGGACTATAAGGACAGCCTCATTAAAATAACCATGACACATATGTCAGGTGTTGAAATGTCCAGTCCAGTCTACTGTCAAACTTGACATTCTATGCTGGCTTCCCCTTCCCCCAGTTCAGCCTCAGCCTGAGCGCTGGAACCTTCTAGAGGTCCTCCTGTCATTTCCAGCTCTGCTTCCTCAGCTCTCCTGTCCATCCCTCCTTCCCAGTCAGGCAGGGGGAGGGGCGACTGGAGAAAGAGGCTAAAGCTCTCGGGTCCCTTTGTCCCTGCTGTTGTCTCTGGGGTGGTCCTCACTGCCATCAAGTGCTGAGGCTCTGCACACTCTCTGGTGACCTCTTTGACTAGACCTCAGCTCCTTCCCTCAGCAGTAGCCCTCATATCTTCTTCCTGTCACACTCTCTTACCACACAAGGCAGGGGCCCATCAACACGGCCTGCCGTGCCTAGTTATTTTCTGTAGGAGCCATTCTGTCCACAGGAAGCCCCTGAGGCCATTATTGCTGGCCCTGGTCTCCTAGGTGGCTCTAGACAACCTTCTAAATTTGGAATTCTCCAGAGAGGAAATGGACACCTGTGTCCATGTATATACTTGTCCTCAAACTCCAGGTGATATCTGCTTATTTCTTTGAAATATTTGCTCAAGAATTCTCTTCACTTTGCTATACTTGGGTAGGTTTACAAGTTTCTATAGTTCAGCAAACATTCATCTGGGAGGTGACATGTCTGTCTCTCAATTTCCTGAGACATGCCCAATATTTATGAGTGGCTGTTTTAGCGACACCCCTCACTTGGCTCTCGATGGAGAGAGCTCTCTCCCCTGTGCTCTCACTGTGAGAGAGAAGGACACAGCACTCCCTGGGGGGCCACCAACTAGGGACTCCCACCGGTTCTCTTCAATGACTCTTTCATTTACTCATTGTAGGTTAGTGAAGGTCAAAAAGACAGTTTGGCCACCACTAAGCAAGCCTTGGAGGGGTAGATCAGGAACTGTTTGGCTGCCGTTTTCAGAATGTAAAAATGTCTAGTGCCTGTTTCCTTTTAAGTAAAATTTCTATTATATGTCTATTGTGAGGCAATAACTACGCTGGGAAAATATGATAAGATGCCCACAAATTGCAGTAAATTTGACTAGGAGAGAAAATACTTACGTACATGCAACAAGGGCTGGCAGAGCAACATGACAAAGCACTAATGCTTCAGGCATATAACAAGTTAGAATGCCACCTTTTCCATCTGCAAAATTTGTGAATTTTAATAGCTCTATGTCCTTGGGCAAGTTGCAGGTTTATGCGCAAAATAGGGTAAAATAAGGTAGGAAAAAAAGGAACCTAAGGGTAAAAGATTAACAAACCCTTTCCCTTCCTTTCTGCATGAGAATTTAATCTTTGGTTAAACTTTCCAGCTATGACTCTCTAGTAATTTAATAAGAGTAAAATGTCTACAACATTATTAGAAACTTTGCTTGTGGTTGAAAATTTCCCATGATGGATGCATTATATCTACACTGGGAGCACTATAAATACACGGTAGGAAGTTATGTTTCAGACTCCCCTAAGCAGTGACTCTTGTAACTCCCCTGCTCCTTGCAGGGAATCTGGAGGCTAAGCCCCGGAGTTGTTACAAGAGACAGTGGCTCCCATGGGCCATGGCAGCTTCTGTACCTGCCCAGCGTGCCATCTCAGTGCCCTGAGATGTCCCCAGCTGACAGAGCGTGGTGTTCCATGAACTGGTGCATAGACTCCCACTAGGAGTAAAGCCTGGCAATGTCCCTCTGATAGGCTAAGTTTCCCATCCTTGAGTAGACTGGTGTCCCAGTGAGGCCCAAGCAGTCCTGTGAGCCAGAGAGGCCAGTTGAACCTAACAAGACCGCTGGTGTGTACCTAACCCTAACTCATACCATTGCCAGGAGGAGCAAATAAGGTAATGCAGGTAAACCAGGAGGTACAAAGCCCAGCACATCTTAAGCACTCAACAAAGAGTAGATGCCACCATTATTAACTAGCTGGGTGACTTTGTCTGAGTTTGTTAACCACCATAGGCCACAGTTACTTAATTTATAAGGACGCTACTTTAGAAAATATTAGCCTAATGTTGACTTAGTGATTAAGTGCACCAGTGTTATTTTACGTTCTTCATACATATTGCCTTGTTTTAATCCTTAGAACCCCACCACGTGGTATCAACCATCATTTTTTTCCAGGTGCAGAGAACTAAGCAGTTGTCCAAAGTCACATGGCTGGCAATTGGAACACAGTGAAAACTAGGCACCACCCCCTCCAGATTCTTTATGCTTTACCACTGCACACTGCCTCCCAGAGAGCTAATTTCCTTCATGCATTCTAAGCTCCATTTTGGCTCTGATATTCTATACTCTATGTAGAGTCCCTTTCTCCAATTTTCTCTAAGGCAATGGGCCTAGCAGGAGAGTCTTATTAGTTCGCTGGGAAATTCCCCTCCAAGATCTCCCGTCAGAAGGATTCTTCTCTTATTCATTCATATAGGTCAAATGTTCCTCCTTTACAGTAAAGGAAACAAAGGGTTGACCCTCAGGAGCCAGAGTCAACCCTGCCTGGCAAGTTGAACGGCTCCGTCTCTCCACTGCAGAGCAGCAGCTCGAGTCTGCCGCTCACCCACCCCGGACAGCCATTCCTTCCGCCACCCCAGGACCTGCAGAAATGGCACTGTGGCTCCCACGCCTTCCCCTTTCATGTCTCTGAGACACATTGTTTTGCTCAAAGCCTCAAGCTCCTTTATAACTTCTGTCCCATTCATTCCTCTCCCCAGAACCCTCCTACACACATTGAAGGGATACAGAGAAGGAGAGAAGGGAGTTTACCACATTCTGTGCCTACTTTATATAAAATTATTCTATCCTTTCTAAGCAAAACCATGATATCCTTTATAAACTATCGGCCGTTTCTTTATCAGTAAAAATAATTCACACTGCTCATTCTGTGATGTCTCTGGTCCAGCCATTTCCCTGGTGGTCATGACCGTAGTCTGCCCAGCTAAGGTCGGAGGAGCGATCTCTGGCCATGGAGCAGAGCAGGTTACTTGGCCAACCCTGAGATGGAACCCACAGTCTTGGCTGCACATCTCTGATCTCCGGGAAATTTGCCTTTGAGAGGGCCCCAACTGAGTGATTCGGGCAAGCACTGCATGATGGCCTATGTTTCCCAGTCCATCTCACCCCCAAGCATGTTCTTTCAGGGACCAATGTGGCAATGCTCTGCAGCCCTAGAGAAATCGAGATGTTTTAAAGACTCTCATGAATATGTCTTATTTGATGATGGAGTTAGCTTTTATTTCACATACACAGTAGATTGTGAGAGTATCTTTCCCCATAATGAGGGATAACCTCTGTGTCATTGAAAATATTCCATTGCCATGATCAGTATAGTAGTAACACAGTAAAATTGTTCCTAACAGGACCACATACAAACAGCCAACGTGCCAGTGGGTCAGAGCTGAGAATCATTCTGGTGGGCAAAACAGGAGCCGGCAAAAGCGCCACAGGGAACAGCCTCCTCGGGAAGCAAGCGTTTGAGTCGAGGCTGAGCGCCCAGCCCCTGACCGAGACTTGCAGTGAAGGGCGGGGAAGCCGGGCAGAGAGAGAGATGGTCATTATTGACACACCAGGTATATTTTCTGAGAAGGACCACTCGGAAGCTCTGTACAAAGAGGTGCAGAGGTGCTACTCACTCTCGGCCCCAGGACCCCACGTGCTGCTGCTCGTGACCCAGCTGGGCCGATACACCGCCCAGGACCAGCAGGCTGTGCGGAGGGTGCAGGAGATCTTCGGAGGGGATGCCATGAGACACACGATTGTCCTCTTTACCCACAAGGAAGACCTCAGTGGTGGCTCCTTGATGGATTACATCCGTGACTCCGACAACAAAGCCCTCCGCACGCTGGTGGCAGCATGTGGGGGGCGGGTCTGTGCCTTTAATAACCGAGCTACGGGGAGCGATCGGGATGACCAAGTGGAGGAGCTGATGGGCCTAACTGAGGGCTTGATGATGGAGAGGAGGGGTGGCCACTATACCAATAGGTTGTACAGCCTCGTACAAGGGTCAAAATCTGGATCTGTCGGGTCAGAGGGAAAATTAAAGGATTTCAGAGAGAATCTCATAGAGTACATGGAAATTGAGAGACGTCGCACAACCATGCCCGAAGCAAATTGCCTACAAAGAGCCCTAACCAAAACACAACCGTGTATTTTATTTTGTATTCGATTGTATGTCAAATTGCTAATTCTGTTATTTTGTATATTGTACAGCATGTGCAATATGTTTTACTCCTTGCTGTTCAGCATGTACAATTTATTTTGTAGTTTACTGTGTATTATACTCAAAAAGTTAATAATGATTGTGAGAAGGACCAGTGTGCCAGAATGCAGGTCTTCTAGATTATAGTTATAGATGAGTAATTATTTACTTATTGTCATTTAGGGATGAATAACAGTGCCTTCCCTGTAAAATGTGGTGCCTGATGTCATATTTGAGATTTTGTGAAATATTTAAATCTTAACATATTACACCATTTATTCATGAACCAAATTATTTTAAAAGTTACCGTTCACTTTGAAATATAATACTAAAATCTTTTGATAACTGTCAACATAAAATTTCTCTCCTATGCAAATCTCCAAAGTCAGCTTTATGTTCCTGAAAATGCATTTTCTTCTTTATAATATTGATTTACTATTGAATGTGATAAAAAAATAGCAATAAAGTAATAAGTAAACTCTCAAGTTTCTAGGATTACATTATCTTTAATTCTCTTCATGATTTTGTCCTCAGAAGATGGTAAGTGGACACACGGCTCATTTACTCTATAACAGAATCAATTCATGCCCAGCAACAAGGACAGACAGACACACTCACACATCAATAGTCTGTTTTATGTATATGAAATTTGCTTAACATCGAAAGGGACTTAACTAGATTTTAACCTTGGCATCCTTCAAATTTAGCATTGAAATGTACACATCAAGCAAGATGGTGAACTGGATATTCTGAAACATTATCCTGCTAAATGCAAATAGAGCCTAATTTATTAAAAGAAACAGAATTTTTATGATTGATGAGCTCATCAGAAAAGGAGAAGAATTCCAAGGGTGAAGCAAACAATATATATAAAAAAGAGTGAGGCGCTAAAACTGGAGACCCACAAGCTATAAACAAGTACGGAAGGCAGAGGTGATGAAGAGACAGATGCTGAGATCAATCCTGAGCCGGAGAACCTCGGCCCTGGGCTGTCAGTACAGTTGGAGAGATGATTCTGAGGCTTCTTTATTAGTGAGGACCTTCTCAGGAGACTGACGACATCTCAGATCAGTTAAACTCTTGACTTGAATTAAAAAATGAAACAGAGAAGACAGAAAGAGAGAAAAGAGGGAAAAAAGAACTATAAGACAAGGAGAAAATAGTTTTTAAAAATGACAGTAGTAAATCCTTATCAATAATTACTTTAAAAATAAATGGACTAAAATACCCTATAAAAAATACAGAGGAGCTGAACAGATTAAAAAATTAAGATTCAACTGTATGTTGTCTATAAGAAAACTCACTTTACATTTAAGTATACACATAGGCTGAAAGTAAAGAAATGAGAAAGATATTTTATGCAAAGTGTAACCAAGTAAAAACAGGAGTATGTAGTTATACCAGACTAAACTGTCTTTACAGGAAAAAAATGGTGTTTCATAATGGTAAAAGTGTCAATTTAACACACTGACTGCCACACTAAGAAAAAAAGATTTTTCCCTGTGGCCACGGTGTTTCATTAAAACAAAATTATCCTTTCTAATTTGTTATGTTTTATTTTCTGTGAATGAGTTATATGCCAATACAATCCATGTTTTTAGAATTAAATTTTCAGTATTAAACGTAACAATAAGAACATCCACAACCAAGACTTTCATGAACCAACTGAAGGGTTTGCTTCATGCGGGCCCTAGGCTCAAAACTAGCGTGAGTTAAATACAACTCACATGACAGTCAATGTGTTAACAGGAACATATAAAAATAGTAAATAGGAATGCACCCAACATCAGAGTATCTAAGTATATAAAGCAAATATTGATAGACTGGAAGGCAGAAATTGACAGCAATACAATAATAGTGGGAGACTTTAATACCTTATTTTCAATAATGGATAAAACATCCAACCATGAAATCAATAAAGAGTGGACTTGAACTATACCATAGATCAAATGGATCTAATAGACATATACAGACCTTTTTACCCAACAGTAAAAAAAATACATTCTTCTTAAGCACACATGGAACATTCTTCAGAATAGGTCACATTTTAGGTCACAATACAAATCTTAACAAATTTAAGAAGATTAAAGTCATTCCAAGTATCTTCTCCAACCACAATGAAATGAAACTAGAAATCGGAGAGCAAGAAAACAGGAAAATTTACACATACTTAAAACTAAATAACATACTCTTGAATGACCACTGGGTCAAAGAAGACATCAAAAAAGGAACTATAAAAATATCATGAGATGAATGAAAACAAAAACGCAACTTACCAAAAGTATGGGATACATAATAAGGAATAGTAAGAGGGAAGTTTATAGCAATAAATGCCTACATTAAAAAAGGAGAGAGATCACAAATAAACAACCTCATCTTATACCTTAAATTATTACAGAAAGAACAAATTAAACCCCAAAGTAGCAGAAAGAAAGAAATAATAAAGATCAGAACTGAAATAAGTCAAAGAGAGAATCAACAAACTATAGGGAAAAAACTACAAAAGTAAGAGTTTTTTAAAAAAACAAACCAACAAACCCTTAGAGCTATACTGAGAAAAGAGAAAATAATAAATAAATAAAATTAGAAATTAAAGAGGAGAAATTACAACAGATGCCCCCAAAATTAAAAGGACTGTAAGGAACTATTATAAACAATTATATGTCAACAAATTGGATAACCTAGAAAGGGACAAATTCCTAAAAACAGACAACCTACCAAGACTGAATCAAGAAGAAACAGGAAGTCTGAACATACCAATAAGAAATAAGGAGATTGAAGCAGCAATCAAAAACCTCCCGACAGGGAAAAGTCCAAGACCAGAAGACTCAAGGTTCAGTTTTAACAAACATTCAAAGAATAATTAATTCCAATCATTCTCAAACTCTTCCAAAAAATAGAATTAGAGATAATACTTCCAAATTCATTTTGTGAGGCCAACATCACCCTGATACCAAAGCCACAGACACAACAAGAAAAGAAAATTACAGGCCAATATCTCTGCTGAACATAGATTGCAAAAATCCTCAATAAAATAATAGCAAACCAAATTCAACAACACATCAAAAAGATTATATACTCTGACCAAGTGGGATTTATGCCTGAAATGCAAGGTCGATTTACCATATGAAAATCAATTGATATAATATACTAGACTAACAAAATGAAAAATTAGAAACACATAATTATCTCAATAGGTACAGAAAAAATATTTAACAAAGTTCAACACCCTTTCATAATAAAAACTCTCAACAAAATAGGTATAGAAGAAAATTTCTCCAACACCATAAAGGCCATTATGAAAAGCCCACAGCCAATATCATACTCAAAGGGAACAAACTGAAAGCTTTTCCTCTAAGAACGGGAAAAGTCAAAGATGCTCGCTTCCACCACTTCTGTTCAACATAGTACTGGAAATTCTAACAAGAGCAATCATACAAGAAAAAGAAATAAAGAACCACCAAATCATAAAAGAAGTAAAATTATCCCTGTTTGTGGATGACGTGATCCTACATGTAGAAAACCCTAAAGACTCCATAAAAAGATAGTTGTTAGAAATAAAAAAATTATTCAGTAAAGCTGCAGGATACAAAATCAACATACAAAAATCAGTTGCATTTCTTTACAACAATAACAATCTATCCAAAATGGAAATCAAGAAACAATCCCATTTATGATAGCATCACAAAGAATAAACAGCAAATAAATCTAAACAAGGAGGTGAAAGATCTGTATACTCAAAACTATAATATAAAACATTGACAAAAGATATTGAAGATGAAACAAGATGAAACAAATAAATGGAAGGATATGCATGTTCATGAGTTGGAAGAATTAATATTTCTAAAATGTCCATATTAACCAAAGCAATACGCAGATTCACCATAACCCACTTCAAAATTTCATTGGCATTTTTCAGAGAAATAAAAAAAGTAACTATAAGGTATTATGTAACTACGGAAGACTGCATAGCCAAAGCAATATTTGGGAAGAACAAAGTTGGAGGTATCACATGATATTACGAAACTATAATAATCAAAACAGTATGGTACTAACATAAAAACAGACACATAGACCAACAGAACAGAGCAGAGAGCCCAGAAATACACCCACACATATATGATCAACTAAATTTTGACCTGGGCACCACGAATATACAATGGTAAAAGGATAGTCTCTTCAATAAACAGTGTTGGGAAAACTGGATATCCACATGCAAAAGAATGAAATTGGACCCTTATCTTACACCATACACAAAAATAAAGTCATAATGAATTAAAAACTTAAATTTAAGATCTGAAACCATAAAACTCTTAGAAGAAAACATAGGGGAAAAGCTCCTTGACATTGGCCCTGGCAATGACTTTTTGGATAGATACCAAAAGATCGGGCAACAAAAGCAAAAATAAACAGTGGGACTACATCAAATATTTTTTGCACAGCAAAGGAAACAATCAATAAAATGATCAGACAACCTAAAGATTGGGAGAAAACATTTGCAAACCACATATCTCATAAGGGGTTAATATCCAAAATATATAAGGAACTTACACAACTCAATAGCAAAAAAAAAAAAAAAAAAAAAGTAGCCTGATTAAAAAATGGGCAAAGGATCTGAAGAGAGATTTTTCTGAAGAAGATGTATAAAAGGTGAGAAACAGTAAAAGTTGGGTCTCTCCCCTACCAGAAAAAAAAATGGGATGGCATGAAAGAAGTAAAAAAGCAGATCCCAACCAGTAGGCTAATAGTCAGGCTATCCTCCTCTCTACATAGAAGGACAGTCAACTCCAGAAAGCTTAAGAGAGTTGGGAGAGGTCCCATAGCTAGCTAATGACCTAACTGGGTATGGAGCCAGCCCCTCTGCAGCCTTCCCATCCCCCAACAATTGGCTCTTTTGCTGATCTTATGATGCTCTTGAGAGAAGACAGAGTAACTAGAATTGGTGATACCAACAAAGATGACTGGACTAAGCCTCCTAATCAGGCTAACTGAAAGACAGGGCAAAGAGGTTCATCCTCAGCATACCAGCCAGCCTCAAGTCCTTCAACAGCTGCCAAAGCCTTCCTTTCTCAGAGAATGGAGGGACTTGACTTCCATATTTTTCCAGCAGACTGCATCCTGGGATTGCACTGGCCACATGGAAGTCCAACCAATGGACAGTTGATAAGAATAGCTATCATGTTCTTTATTCTGGGGCAAGAGACTCTTTGGGCTTAGGGAAAAGCCCCTAAAGAGCAAAGGCAACTGAAAATTAGCTCGGTAACCAGATGTAGAAGTGAAGTCAGGCCTCAGGGCCAGCAATGCCCTTCCCTTCTTAGGGTATGGCAAGATATTTGATATCGCAGGGCCCTGCTGGATATACACACAGAGCTTGTCACAGCAGGAGGCAGATTCTGTAGGAGCAACATTGCCAACCCACAGTTCGATGGGAAATGTTTCTGTCTCTTTAAGTCATCAGCATTGGGCCCTCCCTGAGCTTCCTGAGTTCTGAAGTCTGAGCGACTTCCTCTGAGCACTGGCAGGAAAGAGCCTACTGCACTCACAACCAAAGGCAAAACAGCAGGTCCAGGCTTCTTGCAGCCGACTTCAGAGCCCATCACCAGGAAAGGTGAGCCCGAGCCTGGGAGCTGGCAGGGGCGGGGGTGGGGGTGTCTCTGGGAACCAGAAAGAACGGGGTCCCCAGAGAGCGTCTGCCTGAGCACCTGCAATCTGCCAGGCACCATGCGGGACAGCCAGGTCTGGGACAGTCAAGATCATGCTTCCAGGGGTTTCGGGGTGTTCTGAGTCTCAAACAGATCAAGTTCAGAGGAAGCTCTAGGAGCGTCTCCTGCAGCTCCGGAGAGTGCACATTCTTGTTGGGGGTAGAACCTGTCTCCTTCCACACTCCCTCAACAGGGTGGGGGAAGAGTTTGCTGGAGCCACTTTCAGGAACAAAGTACAGTTTAAAAGGCATTAAACGTTCCCCAAGCTGCATATTCAGCAAAGGTAAAAGATATTTCTATTGCCCCATAAGCAATCTAACCTTGGGGTGAGTTCCAGTCTGACAAGTTGGATACGCTGAACTCTCTCCTCAGCGTCCGCGCCAGTGGCCCTCAGGAGGCATCTGAGGTTAGGAAGTTCATCTTCAACCCCCTTCCGTGCATGGTCCCTTAAAACACCTGCTCCCTAATTCGAGCCTCTCTAGCCACACCTACAGGGACACCTCAGATTCCTCACCTGTACAGTGAAGGGGTTTGGAAAATTAACGGATTCCCAAACTCTGGGTTGTCGGCTGCTTATTACATCAGAAACACCTGATTCATGAACCAGACTCTCCGAGGATGGGTCCGAGAAATGTAAAATTGTTAAAGAACACTTAAGTAATTCTGAAAAATAGCAGGGTTGGAGGCAAAGACCTAGATAAATTTTGAGGTCTCAAAGTATTAAGAATACAGGATTCTATATGCTTACATTCCTCAATAATTACGAGTCACTTGTCAGCTCATATTTCAGCTGGAGCTTACTTCCCTCTGAAAAATGTATTTAAAATCATTTCAAGCCCCAGTCTGAACTCTGGAGAGTGCCACTGGCCCGCCAGAGTCCCATGCCCTCCCTGCAGCACACGCTCGTTTTCATCTTTGACGAGGACTTCTTGCTTCGGCTAAATGCCTGCTCTTTGCTCTGAATCTTGCGGCTGCTTGTTCATTTCTGCTCCGGTGTCTGCTACGGGAGCCTGCTGATTTCCGCCCACAAAATAGTGAATCACATAGGCCCGTGGAGTGGACCTTCCTGAAGGCTTTGGGGTGGCGGCAGGAGGGAGTTCCTGCAGAAACAGAAGCAGCTGTGGCCTGGGTACCAGGCAAACCTGTTCTCAAGGTCCTTTGCCAGAGACAAAGTACTCAGCCAGCCCCCCTCTCTGCTCTTCCTCCCCTTGTGGTGCCTCGGGGAGAGAACACGGGTAACCGGAGCGGCCAGGGCAGAAGACATTTGTGTGCACAGAGTGGCGAGAGAGGCCCTGAAATCCGCTGTTTGTGGCGCAGCTGACTGGGTGGAGGATTAGCTGGATAGGAGGCTGGAGGCGTAGCTGAGAGGGGGACACACAGTTGCACTCAGGTGCTCGTGGGATCAGGCAAACCGGATCACAGAGTGTTTGATTGTATTAAATGATGTTAGAATTCACTTTAGTTAGAAAAGCCTCGGATGGGGACACCAACGTCAGGACTGAAGGGGAGTGTCCCGGCCTCTGCAGCATGGAAGTCATACTTAGACAAGCAAATGACATTTGGCCTTGGGAGGGCGGAGTCAGATCTGCTCGGGAGATAGGTCTGTTTTCCAGTTTCCATAGGAAAATCTCTGGTTTTCTTTTTGAATTTTTCCTACCATTGTAAGGCAGGTCCCCAAATCACTGTAAATTTCCTTGTTCTCCGAGTTTACCTACGTCTTCCCTGGCTGCTGAGTCCCCTAGAAAAACTTAATATCTATAGCTTATGCCACTGACAGAATTACCCCAGAAAAAATTAGTATCTAAAGTTTACCCATTGGCATAGAGTAAATGTTACAATCTACCCTCTGCTTTTGTATTTCGAGTCCCCGAAAAGTCAAATCCAAGCTCACCAAAAGTTCTCTCGGTATCTTTCCAAATCAAGGTCAGGATACTGGCCCTTCTGATGTTATTCTCTAAAATTCTCATATTATCCCTAAAGGAGAATTAGCACAATTTATTATAATTGACAAAATGTACTTGTTTTCTCTCTAACCACCTGCCCCTTCTCCAAGACACACACCTGGATTTTTAGACCTTTGCAGACAGAAACCACGTCTTTTCACTGTGCTGCAACCAGCTCTTTGGCTTTGGCCTGACACACTGGGAGTGGTTATGCCTATTTCAGGAATAAATAAATTAACGAACAAATTGTGTCTGGGACTCTTTCAGGTAAGCATGGGAGGACGGAAGATGGCAAAAGATGAAGAAAGTGTCTATGGTAAGACCATGTCTCTGCACTGCATACTTGCCTCCCAGGGCTTGAGCTAGGACAGTAAGGAGAATGGGGCTTACTCAGGACTGAACAGAGATAAGTCCCAGAGGTGTCTTGACCCTGGGATAAAACAGAAAGAGCCCCAAGATTTGCATTTCAGTTGGATCTCTGCTGTGAGATGTTAAGTTCTTTAACTAGCCTGCCCCTCTGTTCCTGGAGTGTAAAATGAGGATAATAAGCCTATTCTGATCTCCACAGAAGAGGATACAGAAGGTGTCAAATCATGGACAAAAGTGAACATGATTTACCAGGTAGAACGTTTAGAGAATAAGTATGGAGGGTTAACATGGGTATTCTTTTTAGGGAGCAAGTTTAAGAGAGAGAGGGAAGAGGAAGAAGGAAGGAAAGGGGGTGGGGTGGGAAGAAAGACAAGAGATCCTATCTAACTCTCACCAATCCTGTGAGAAACAACCCTATTTTCTTTCTTTCGTTTTATATTTTTTAGAGACAGGTCTTACTCTGTCACCCAGGCTGGAGTACAGTGGTGCCATCACAGCTCACTGTAATCTTAAACTCCTGGGCTCAAGTGATCCACCTCAGTCTTGAAATGTGCTGGGAGTAGAGGCATGGGCCACCTCGCCTGGCCCAAACCCTATATTATTATTCCCCTTTTTGCAGGAGAGGTTTAACACTCAGATTAAGCAACTTCCTCAAGGTTGCACAACTAGCACCTGGTGGGTCTATGATTCAAACTAGTGTGTCTGGGACTCCAGCAATTTCTTCACCACTGTGCAGTATTGCCCCTCTGTCCCACTCTCCCAGTCCCCCTCCCACTGCCCTCGCCCACCCATTCCCCCACACCCCCTGCCACCGCCTTTCTTCCCCGCATCTGGGAGAACATTGCAGACTCCATTTAAGTTGTCAAATGTGGAACAGGTCTGCACGTGTGCGGGTGACCAGAGATAATGTAGGATGAAGCAATGGTCTGAAGTTACAAAGGCGCATTCTCTGAAACGTTCAGCCGTGGGCGGGGCACCTACAGGTGCACCAGGCAACCCACGCACAGCGGGAAACGAGGGACATGAACCACCCGGAGCTCAAACCTCCATTCTTCCCAGTTTTCCTAAAGGCAAGATTGCAGTTCCCAAGCCACGTCGCTGTAAGACGGGGAAGCTCACTAACAGTCTGTCCCGCAGGGCCAGGGGAGGACAGCCAGGCGCCGCAGGAGCCCACGCTGAGGCTCGTCCTGGTGGGGAGGACGGGGACGGGGAAGAGCGCCACCGGGAACAGCATCCTGGGCCAGAGACGGTTCGTCTCCAGGCTGGGAGCCACGTCGGTGACCAGAGCCTGCGCCGCCGGGAGCCGGAGGTGGGACAAGTGGCTGGTGCAAGTCGTGGACACTCCGGACCTCTTCAGCGCCGGGAGCCCCGAGGCCGCGCCGGGGCGCGAGGAGCGAGGCCGCTGCTACCTGCTCTCGTTCCCCGGGCCGCACGCGCTGCTGCTGGTGACGCAGCTGGGCCGCTTCACCGCCCAGGACCAGCAGGCCGTGCGGGCGGTGAAGGCGATGTTCGGGGAGGACGTCCTGCAGTGGACGGTCGTCGTCTTCACCAGGAAGGAGGACCTGGCGGGGGGCTCCCTGCAGGAGTACGTGCGCTGCACGGAGAACCGCGCGCTGCGGGAGCTGGTGGCCGCGTGCGGGGGCCGCGTCTGCGCCTTGGACAACCGAGCCAGCGGCAGCGAGCAGGAGGCGCAGGCCCAGGAGCTGCTGCAGCTGGTGGGGGCCCTGGTCAGCAAGAACGGGGGCGCCCACTACACCAACGAGGTGTACTGCGACATGGAGCGGGACCTGCGCTGGGCGTGCCCCGAGGAGCGGCTCCGCTGGGTGGCGGACCAGGTGGCGGCCCACATGCAGCGGCCCTGGCTGGCCTGGCTGCTGGCCGCGCTGTGCGGGGAGAGGCGGAGGTCGCGCGGGAGAGGCTGGGGTCTCCGCGTGGCCGTCCTGCTGGGGGGCGCGATCCTGCTCTTGGTGCTGCTCTGCAGGCGCAGGTCTGAGGACTTAGCCGAGGTCGGACCTGGCTGACAGTTCGTGCAGGCCCTAAAAGCTGCAGGCAACTGGGCAAGAAAGGAACTAAATTCTTGGAGCCGAAGGGAAAAATTAAAACGTCATTCCAAAGGAGTTCTGTAGTTCCAGACCCAGTTTTAATGACACAGAACACTGTGAACTGCGTCAACCTTGCAACTCTGAAAATGCTCAAAGTTCATTTTATAAGTTTTAAAGTCTCACCTTTAACTATATGTATGCAGAGTTTCAAAATAAATTTGTCTACCTTAAAAACTTCCTTCAATGTTTTCCTATTCTTGGGCCCTCTTTCCCCTCATGAAAGATAGTGGAATGGCTAATAGCTTGTGGTGGGGAACAAATGCATGGCACGGGGAAAAGAAACACTTTTATTTTGAGGTTTGTTTGTTTCTTTAATTTACACTGATCCTCCTCAATAATTTTCTAGTTCTTTACACATGGGTACCAATGTTCCTTTGTGATCCTTGTAGACTTGTATTATCATCAGTGAAAGAGACACCAGGGTGATGCATGTTCATGTTCACTTCTTACACACCAGTTTGTTAGTTAATTAGTGCAATTATCTACTATCAAAAAGATCAGGGTAACTATACTGAAAATAACACAATTTCCAATTTTCCAGCATGTGTTATGGTTCACGTCTTTCCAAAATAAAGCAAGATGTTGGGAGGATAACATGTGCTATCTTCAATGAGGTTACTCAGATTTTTATGCCACATCTATGCACATACGGTATCTATCTAGAGCTCTTCTCCGATGGTGGAGAAGAGGCAGAGCAGCAGGTGCCCGGATGGAGAGCTGCCGCAGGTGAGCATGCTATGCTGGGCGGTTACAGCCTCGGGACTCACAGGGATGGGCCAGTCCACGAAGGTTCTTGAATACCACGTCATTAGAAAATCGGATGCTGACTGGTTATGCAATCCAAACAAGAGGATTTCTTTGTTTCCATTTCTGTGCTTAATAAGAGCTCTCTAAGGGAATTCATTATCTGTAAATCAGTCACCCCCTAGTTAGGAAACGCAGATGCAGGAAGGAAGCAGAATGCACGTCAGGGGGTGGTGGAGGAGGAAGGGAGTTGTGCGCACGGAGGTCCTGGCCAGTGGCATGTTGGGAAGGAGGGGTCTATGAGCATGTCACGAATGCCACGTCCCACTGAGAATCTCGGGAGGTTCAGGAGCTGCACTGCTGCAGGCTTAGGGCAGGCTGTGGTCAGGGGTCAGGCGTCCTGAGGGCCTGGGTGGCAATTGCAGTGAGTTGGCCTCTGTGAGTGGCTCGAGAAAAATTCATTCTCAATTCTCACCTTTAGCTCCCTTAGCATCTCTGCTGGGCCCACCCGGGGGCCTCGAGCCAGGGAGGGGCTCCTTAGATGATGCGGGTGGGGCGACCTTAGAAGGCGGGAGTCCGGGGAACATCGGCACATCGTCCATGGCCATGTGCGCACCGGCACCTGCTGCTGTGGGTCGAGGGTTGCTTACCAGTGGGACTAATGCTAACCTGTACCTGTTAATCGTTATTTCATTGTCTCACATACAGGTGTCCACACATGCCCTCTAATTGTTTGCAAATGCAAATGTGATTTTCAAAATAAATAAAAGTATCATGATTTTAAAATTCTTTTATGGACTGCAGCATATAGAATGTATACTTGGATCAAAGGAAGGCTTGACGTCTGTGAGTGGAATGCCAATCCTGGGGATCGCAGGGGGGTGAGGGCGGCAGTGGGGAGCCGGTGGAAGGGCCCTGGGCACTGCAGGCTTGTGTGTGAGCACAGGATGTTTGCTTTCTTCAGAGCCAGAACAAATATCCCTTGCTTTTACAGGTTTGCTTTTTATTAGGTCCACCCCACCCAGAATAATCTCCCTTTTGACTAACTCAAAACCAGCTGTTTAGGGACCTTAATTATATTTGCAAATTCCCTTCACTTCTATAATACCATGCAAACCAATCCTAGGAGTGGCGTCCATCCTATTTTTCCCACACTCAAGGGGAGGAGATTATCTAGGGCTTGTAGATAATCCCCGTGGGTGGGATCTTGAGGCCTGCCTGGCAATTCTGCCTACCACAACCACATAGATTAAAAGTAAAAACTGGGGAAAGAAATACCATAACAACACTGATCAAAATAAAGCTGGAGTGGCTACATTAATATAGTTCTGCAGTCTATAGAGTAAGGGATATTGTCAAGGGTAAAGATGGACATTACATAATGATAAATGTGTTCATTTATTAGGAAGACATAACAATCCTTAAAATGTTTGCACCTAAAAACATAGCTTCAAAATATATGAATCAAAACTGAAAAAAACAAGAATGTAATTAGACAAATCCAAAGTTACACATAGATACTTTAATCTTCTTTCTCAGTGATCAATAAAAACACGTAGAGACAGAAAATCCATGCGAATATGTCCCGACCCGTGGGACCTTCTGTTACTCGCGGGGGTCAAGAGGGACCATGCCTGAAAGAGATGGGCGAGAGAAAGGAACTAGACCAAGCAAAGGGTTGTCAAGGTCTGCTTTACTAGGTTTTTCGTTGGTTTTATAAGCATACAGAAACAAAGTAGGGAGGGGCAGCGGGGGGGTTAGGGTTGATCGGTCAAAAACAGTTTAGGGTCAATCAGTTACAAACATCCTATGGTTTATCAATCACAGATAGCCCCTGGCGCCAAGCCTGGAGGGTTTATCAGTCGTGAACAGCCTCTGGCGCCAAGCCTGGGATATCTTGCGATCTTTCTCAGAACGGCCATTAAGCACCTTCTGACAGCTCAGGGTATTTATGGGTTAAGACCCTCAAAGGCCTCGGTTCCTAACACGAATAGAGAAGGCCCAAGACTGAATACTGTCCCTTTAAGTTCAGGAAAAGGCCAGGATGTCCCTTCTCGCCACCCCAATTTAACCTTCTAGTAGAGATTCAGAGTAATGTTCTGTCTTTCATTCCTGGTTTTGTTGCCGAGCCCCAAGGGCATCTGGCCTAGGTCTGATCACTCGCCACTCAGAAAGCCAATTGCTGAGACAATGAGGATTGCCAAGGGAAAAAGGGAATTTATTACTGACGACATTCCCCGGGAATGGGACAACTGCCCCAAATCCCTTTCCAGCCTTCAGTTTCTCCCGGGGGGGTATGGACTACAAAGGATACTGATCCTTACGTCAGACTCAGGAGAAATGGGAGAGAATCAAACCCTGCCTTGAGAAAAGCATCTGATAGACCTGTGGTTCTTTTTCTCATTAAAAAGATATAAAACATAAAAATCATTGTAATAGAGATCTAGCCAATGATAGGAGGTGAGAAAAAGAAATAAAAAGCACACAGATTAGAAAGAAGGTAATAAAATTGTCTTTATTTGCAGATGACATGATTTTCTATGTAGAATTTTTTTTTTTTTTGTCATCCCGGCTAGAGTGCAGTGGCCTCATCACAGCTCACTGAAACCTCAAACTCCTGGGCTCAAGCAGTCCTCCTGCCTCAGCCTCCCAAGTAGCTGGGACTACAGGCGCACACCACCACACTGAGCTAATTTTTTCTATTTTTATTAGAGACAGGATCTCAATCTTGCTCAGGCTGGTACTGAACTCCTAGGTTCAAGCGATCCTCCCACCTCAGCTTCCCACAGTGCTGGGATTACAGATATGAGCCATGATGCCTGGCCCCAGAAAATCTTAAAGAATCAAGAAAAAAGTTCTAGAACTAATAATTTAGTTTAGCAAGGTCAGAGAATACAAGATCAACATACAAAAGTCAATTCTATTTTTGTATACTAGTAATGAACAGCTGGAAATTGAAATTCAATCATCGGTACCATTTACAACACCATTAAAATCATGAAATACTTTGGAATGAGGTGTAAGATTTTTATGCTGCAAAGTACAAAACATTGATGAGAAGAACCAAACAAGACCATGTTCACAGATCAGTAGATTCAATATTATTCAGGTGTCAATTCTTTTGAAATTAATCTATAGATCAATGTACCCCCAGTCAAAATCTGGGCAGGATTTTTTGGATTTTGAAAAAGAAAAAGCTGGAGAATTCACATTTCCTAATCACAAGATTTACTATAAAGCTGCAGTCATCATAACAGTGAGGTATTAGTGAAGATTAGACATTAAAAAAAAAAAAAGAATCTTGACTCATATCTCACACCGTATACTAAAATTAACTAAAGTGACGATCTTGAATCCACTTCTCTACACTGGCCTCAGTCTCCTTATCTGCGATACTGGGGAAGGAACTGGTCTAGATGGCACCTGACATCCTCCCAGCTCTCACCTCCTACGCCTGTGGCCTCTTTTGCCTTTCACTTTCACAAAGCTCAGCTGCTCGCTGGGTTAAACTCGAGTGGCGCGCGCGCGTGTGTGTGTGTGTGTGTGTGTGTGTGTGTGTGCGTGTACGTGTGCATGTGTGTACGTCTCCGTGAAGCTGATGGCAGCAGCATAGGCTGTGGTTTCACAGAAAAGCCACAGGAGGTCATGGACCAGGGCATGACTTTGTGTTGTCACTTAACTGTTTCTAACACCTCTCTGTGCAAGTCAACCCCCTCATCCGCTCACAGAGGAGCGGGCTTTGCCCCCAGTTGTTGCTGTTGCCGTGCTGTGTCTTCCACTCCCTGAAGAAGCACACAGGCAGCCACTGTGGTCCTGCCTCAGCTTCCCAGCACACGGGCGCCTCGTGGCCTGGGACTAGCAGGGACTGGTCTAGACAGAGCCCAGGGGCGGCAGGGAAGCACCATCTGGGGAGGAGTCTGACCAGCCCCTGACTGCGTGAGGCTGATGGGTTCGGGAGGGGAGGAACCAGAGCTCCGGAGGCGGGATGTGGTGGAAGGTGACGTGCACCCCAAGAGGGCTGGTCCAGTCCTACAGGTGTGCCTGGTGGAAATTCTGCGGCCCCATGATGTCAAATGTCAGCAGCAGGTTCAGAAAGAAGGAAAGTAAGACCGGGACAGGACTACTTGCTATATTAGTCTCTGTTCATCAAAGGCACTTTTTCTCATCAAGGTCCACATGGTGGCATTTGTCACAGCACAGCGTGTAAACAGATGAGGCTGCCCTCTGCCCAAGGCCACCAATCCAGGCCTCTAGACGCTTTGTTTCTGTTTTTGATGTTGTTGTTTTTTAACAGGGTGGTTTCTTCCTCCCTGAGGGGGGAAATACCTCAACAAACCCATAACTGATTTACAGTTCATGGGCCAAGAACTTCTGATGTAATGACACAAAGGGAAATCAGCCCTGATGAGAAAAAGTACCTTTGATGAACAGAGACTAATATGCCAAGTAGTCCTGTCCAGGAAATCAGCCTGTTTGGGACACACCTCAGCGAGATCAGAAACAGTACTCATGACAGGAAGATCTAAGTTTGTGGACCCCAAGATCCTTACCAGGGGACACTCAGCTGCAGTTTGTAATGTCAGGGGGAGGGGAGGGTCTCATTAGACTCTCAGGAAGGTCTACACCCCACTCCGGATTCAGCAGGTGCCGTCCTCCAAGGTGCCAGCCCAGAAAGCTCCAGGGACCACCTCATCTGGGCTGGACCGCATCTAACCCATCCCAAGAACAGCTAGAGGAGAACGTCAGGGCATGGATTCAGTCCTTGCTGCTCTTTCCTGGCCTTTTGGCCTAACTAAACTGGTGCAGGCACTACTCTAAACTCACAGCTATGGGATTAGGAAGGTGGGCATCAGCTACCCAGAAAACTCTGGAAGTCACGATAACAAGCTCCTACACCTACTCCAAGGCCCATCCTGTCCTGCCCTGACATCTAATACTCTCTGCTTCCTTTAAAACAACCACTTCAAAGGGCCCTCCTCCCTACCACGTCTCAACCCTGCTCCATGTCCAAGTCCTACTCCACACTTCAGGGCTTTGCCTTTGGGGTTGGCACAGTTTGATCTCTTTCCTTCCTAAAACCCTGCTTAAGATGTTATCTAAAACTGTGCCTTCCACAGTTTTTGACCACACCGTCGGGAAACAGTACACTTTATACTGCTTCCCAGCATTCACACACACATTTCATGGGATTCATTTTGATAGTTTCTATTCTATTTCATTTTTTAAATCTCCTAATGGGGTGTATGAAATACACCGGCCTAAAACATTCATTTGGGGCCCAGCTCATTGTCTTTCATTGGCATAAGTCTTGCCTTTCTCATGGGACTATAGACTCCCTAAGAGGATGGCTTTTTGTCTGTGTCCCACAAGCTCTGTCTGGAATCACCCTCGTTAGGCCCAGCATGGTGCCTCGGCTCAGGAGAATAGGATAAATTTGCTTTCAGAGACGTCAGACATTTAGAGCACTCTTCATGGCATCATTAATCCTTCCTCCATGCCATGTGTCAGCCACGTGCTCAAACGGCTGCCCTGCATCTGGACCTGGACGTTTCTGAATCGTCAGCCCGACCTACTGCATTCACCCCAAGATGATCTCCGCCCCACCCTGGGGCTCCTCTGCCCACCTCCAATTGGAGACACCCCTGGCTGGGCCCCTCTCAGCCCTAAAAACAGTAGCCAAGACCCTGTCCTGACAGAAAGGACATAACCCTGCTGATAAGACAGAAATGCCTGCATTTTTATACTTTTTCCAGGAACCTGGAAAAACCTGCTCTTTCGTGTTCATAAGAGCATGATGAGGCAGGCAGGGCAAGTACTTCCTTCCCAATGAATGAAATTAGCAAACTCCATCTCAGAGCATGAACATTAGCTTCGTAAATGAAGAGCAATAGTGACAGTGGAGTTATTGCCTAACCGTGTGGGAGGCCTTCACTTGATCTCTTTTGTTTTAATTTGTTCATCCGCACAACCAGCGCTCTGGCCTGAAAGACATCTAAGGTTCTTTTATCCCTTTAAAAGAATTATTCTACAATTTCCCACACTGTGCTCACTTTCTGTCTCCTCGAGTGCATTTTGGCGTTCTAGGGATGGGGTGGGGTGGGGGCTCTAGTGCACACCGTTCCTGAATTTCTGCAAAGAACCTTTTTCAGAGTGAAGATAGACAAGGAAGAGAAACCGCACTTCAGCATTTGGCTTCAGCCTCTCCCAACTCTGACTTGGGGTTTCATTTCCACATTTCCCACCATGGGTTGAGAAGAAGGAGGAAGAGGAAGAGGCCAGACAGTGGGAGCAGGAACGAGCGTTAGGAGGCCATCTGGTGACCAGCAGCCTCCGTTTGACGGGGACTGAAGGGTTTCCCAGGCTGTGGGATTTTGAGTGCTAAATCCAGCCAAATTCTGGGCAAGTTGGAATGGTTGGTCCCCCTAGGAGCCCTCGGAAAGGTGTCTCCCCCAAATGTTTCAGAGATGTGGCTGTGGCATCCCCCTGGCTTAATAATACCTGGGAAATGGCCATTTTCCCTGCCCACTCAGTGCCTGGGCCAGAGAGTCTCCACGTGCGAACATGGAGAACAGAGGAGACCAGGGATGGATAAGGACCTACTTTCGGCCATTATCGGCCGTGTTTCGTACCATTTGAGGAGTTTGGTAGAGAAGGAAACAGGAAGTGAGGAGGCGGCAGGTGGAGGGGAATCACTAGTCGCGCTCTCAGTCCAGGGAAGGGGATTGACTTGGTGTCACACAGAAGGACAGGGAAAATGGCCACTTCCCAGGTGCCCTAGGTTTCCTGGGAACCTCCCGGTTTGTTGCAAATCTGAGCAGAGGAACAGAGAGGGTGTGGAAAAGAGAGAATCCTGGAACTACTTTCATGTCTGGATGTGTGCAGGTTTCTAGAATTCCACTTTCTGAAGCGAGCTGCCTGAGATTGCTCTTCTACAAAAAGCAAGATGAGGGAATAGAGCATTTGAGTTGTACATTGTGTTCGTGTATTCAATAAGTAATTCTGAGCACTTTCTAGGGCTGGGTTGTGGCAAGACCCTGACCTCTAAGTCAGGGTCCCAGTCCCTGCCAGCTTGACTCCAGGGATGTCTCTGAGCCACAAGAGGAGCCCAGAAACTGCTGGCAAGGAACAGATAAGACTCTCAGGGAAACCCCCAGTCCCTGCCAGCTTGACTCCGGGGATGTCTCTGAGCCACAAGAGGAGCCCAGAAACTGCTGGCAAGGAACAGATAAGACTCTCAGGGAAACCCCCAGTCCCTGCCAGCTTGACTCCGGGGATGTCTCTGAGCCACAAGAGGAGCCCAGAAACTGCTGGCAAGGAACAGATAAGACTCTCAGGGAACAGGAAGACTCAAAGCAGAAAATCACCCCTTAGCTGGGGGGCCGAGGGCACGTAAATATAATGCCTGTGACTAGGGCCAAACCAAGGGCACAGAAGGGAGGGAATTTCAGGATGTGGCTAGAATGAAGTGAATTCAGGTTGGCTGCACTGGTAAGAATAGTTAGCCATGGTGTCCCCTCACTGTTTATAAGACTTTGATGCGAACTCTGCCAGGCAAGTTATTTATTTATTTATTTATTTATTTCCTCATATTATGGGGGTACAAATATTGTTAGGGTTACATATCTTGCACCCACCCCACTTCCCCCACCCTGCTATGCCAGAGCTTCTAGCCTGTCCAGCCTCCAGGTGGTGTGCACCACACCCCCGTGTAAGTGCGTACCCTTCCCCTCCTCCCCCTCCTCCTGCCCACTTCCCGATTACACACTTTTTCCAGACATTTTGGTTACAATGCATATCTTTGCCTCTCCCTAAAATGGGATAGAGGTAATCCCTTCCCCCCATAATGCTCGCCATTTCCTTAAGATGTGGGTCTCCCCCCACAACTCCCTGTTGGAGATACCTCAGACAGCTAGAAATAGAAACACCATTCGACCCCGCAATAGCATTGTTGGGCATCTACCCAAAAGAGCATAAGTCTCTCCATTATAAAGACGTCTGCACCCGAATGTTTATGGCAGCACAATTCACTATTGCACAGTCGTGGCAACTACCCAAGTGCCTGTCAGTTCATGAGTGGATAACTAAAATGTGGTATCTGCTCAAAATGGAATATTACTCAATCCTAAGAAATGACAGTGAGCTAGCACCGTTTATGCTATCCTGGATTAAGCTTAAGCCCGTAAAACAAAGCGAGACGGCACAAGATCTGGAAAATGGGCTCCATGGGCTACTCGCCATCAAATTGGTACTGACTGACTAAAACTATGGTGCCCAAGAAACAGGCAAGTTTTTGAGAGACTCGGGCGGCTGCTGGGAGAGTGCCTCGTCCCCATCCAATGAGAGTTAAACCCCGGATGGTCAGGCCACAGCCCTTTGCTCTCCTTGCCCTGCTCTCCTGCCCTGCCCTGCTGTGCCCAATTCACACAGACTGTGACTGTCTGCTGGGTTGAAAGTCCTTGAAAATGTTGAAAGTGTAAGGGCAAATAAAAAATTAAGAAAACCCATTAAGTCTCCACAGTGAGAAAAAAAGCAGGAAAGAATGACCCCTCCTCCCTTCTTTGAGCGTTTTCTTTAGAAAGTTGTGAGCTCTCTCTCTCTCTCTCTCTCTCTCTCTCTCTCTCTCTCTCTCTCTCTCTCTCTCTCTGCCCTTTGAGATGCAAATCTTTGTAAAAGCTGTTTGCAGTCGGACCCCCATGACGGCGTTTCTCCAGCCCCTGGGAGCCATCTCTTTGAAATGTAAACGTCAAGGAAAATAGCACCCGCCTGCTAGTCTCCCTGGGAAAGTGGGAGCCTAACTTCGGAGCCTAACTCTCCCAGGCACCTCTCTCCACGGGGCAAACCTTCCTCTTGTGGAAGATCCAGAGGAAGTTTACGTTTCCTCTGGGAAAAGTCAATTAGCTAACACAGATGGTGACCAGGTGAATTTAGGATAAATTATGTGCGACAAAATGGTGCTGTCGAACTGCATGGGCTCTGATAATATTTACCACTATCCAGACCATGAAACCTGACTGACAAAACTGAAGAGAGAAATCCATTCCCAGGCATTCCCAATCCTGTCTCTAGAAGCCACCTTTCGCCTACATGTTCCTGTCATCTGTGTGGTCAGAGGCAACTCATTGTGTTTTGTCTATGTACACAGCATGTATGTAGACACGTCCATGTGTATATCTTGTCTATATCTTTCTCTGAAACTCTCAGTACAGGTTGGGATAGGGACCCTGGATTACTTGCCTGTTTTTCTAGGGAAAGAGCATCCTAAAAGCACCAAATCATAAAGCTATGCACAAGCCTAAATAAACAAAGTTCTTTTGAATATTAAAAAAAAAAGGTGCCATCAAGTCCGCTTACTTGAAGACTATGGTTTGTGTTGACTCCTGTGCAATGGGTTGTGTCTGCTGGGCTATGTAACAGGGTGAGACCTCTGCTCATCTTTGCAATCTCTGAGCTAAGATCACATTCTGATTTGACGCATATTCAGTCATAAAACTCTTTTCTTTCTCTTCTACTTTTGTGGAGAGGTTTTCTGGGCTGGCAGGAGAATGTTTTAAATGATTTTACCCCTAAGATCTTAGACAGGCCGGGCTCAGAGGCTCATGCCTGTAATACTAACACTTTGGGAGGTTGAGGCAGGAGGATTGCTTGACTTCAGAAGTTCGAGACCAGCCTGAGCAAGAGCGAGACCTCATCTCTACTAAAAATAGAAAAATTAGGTGCCCGCCTGTAGTCCCAGCTACCTGGAAGACTGAGGCATGAGGATTGCTTAAGCCCAGGAGTCTAAGGTTGCTGTGAGCTAGGTTGACGCCATGGCACTCTAGCCCAGGTGACAGAGTGAGACTCCATCTCAAAAAAAAAGTAGACATTTGTTATGATGTGACTCTAAGCCCACCTTCAAATGTCAACAGAGAGGAAGGTGGCAATGCCTGGGACAGGACCGGCCTCTGCCTAAGCCCACACGTGTTCTCAATCTTGCTTTATGGTCACTGCCCCAGCCTTCAGTGTGCAATCGGCTAGAAGCAGAGGTCCCATTGCCACACTCCCAGCACTCAGCTGGCTGAACGGACACACAAACTCTGCAGTGGCCCCCACAAAGCGGCTCTGTCACATGGCAGGGAAGGGGCAGCAGCACAGCAGCCCAGAGTCACAGCCCGAGAGGGCCTTGTCCAGGCCCCCTGTGGACCAGCAGTGCCTTTCTGACCCTGGTTAGCAGGAACATTCTAGAAGCAGAGCCTGTGAGAGGAGGCCAAAGTTTGTCTGGAGGAGCCGGTGATCCAGCGATGGGTGCAGAGGGCTGGCGGCTTGTGCCTAGAACACTCCACTCACAAGGGGGCCTTTCCAAGCCTGAGGGTGGGGGATCTGTCACTCCCTCCACATCCTCTCCCTCCGAATAGTTAAAGTCATAAAAAGGAAATGGGAGGCGGCACAACGCCCCCAGTAGGCTGCTGACAGGAAGTGACGGTCAAAGCGTCACAGCCAGTGCAGGCGGCTGGTTTTCGGGGTCCTGTTTTCATCAGTTTCCAGCTGACCCCAAGAGGTGAGTGCGGGGAGCAGGGCACTCTCCGTCATCCTGTGTTCCTTCTTCTCCTGCGGCCGGGCCACGCCACGTCGGCCCCAGCCGCTGGCTGCTCTTTAACTGCATCTGCTCAGCGTCACCGGTACGGGTGAGCCGCCTCCCCCGGGCCAGGGGCTGTCCCTGCTGCCACGCACCTTCCCGAGAGGACCAGCCTGCCGGAGCCCCGCTGACCGGGAGGACAGGGCCCGACGGCAGCTCCTGGTAAGGAGAACTGGGTCTGTGCTCTCGGAGACTTTGGGAGTTGGAAGAGCCACAGTTTGGCCACAGCCGCTGACTTCTTGTGACCTCACACAAGTTGCCGCACTCTGGGTTCCCTGGTCCGAGTGCCCTGGGCAGCAGATGTGTGGCTGGTGGGACAGGGCCTAGAGAGCCACCGCCCGGTGGTTCACTGCCGTCCCGTGTCACAGGGCAGCGGGCTTCTCCCTCCCCTTGCCTGTTTCTTGGCCCAGTCAACTTTCGAGAAAGTCTCAGGTAATAGAGGTGAGCTAGTCCTGTCTGTCATTCGCTGGGCAGACGATAAAACTGAAGCTCCCAGGGAGCGAAAGACTTTCCCACCAACGCCCCACCCCAGCGAGGTGGGGGCGTACTTCTCAATTTTACCCTCCTAACTTCTCATGTCCCACCCCAGCCAGACGTGCATGTCCCAGAGAGGCCTGGGAGTGGAGGGCGGAGTCTTAGGCCTCCATGGGGCAAACGTGGGAGCCTGGTGTTCCAAACAGGACCCCTCAGACGATCTTGCCTGATGACCTTGACCTTCTGAAAACCACCCTGTTTTCCCCTGAATAACCACACATTTTTATATGCCACGCTGTAGGGTGCTGCCCTGGGGCAACAGACTTGTGTCCGGGACACATGTGAACAAGCCCTTTGTCAGCTGAACGTGTTGTAGAATCGCAGTGACCAAGCTACAAAACATGTGGTTCCAATACCTGCAAACATAGGGACTAGGGCAGACAGGTGGAGGGGACACTTATAAACAAGGAAGACAAGCAATATTTTTATCTTTTTGTTTATCTTTTTGAAATAGTATGAGAGAGACTGCTGTCTCATGATTTGATTAAGTAAGATCCCATCATGGTAAAATCAAGTTCGTACAATCTTCAAATCAGAAGGTGCAGTAAGTTCACTCACTCCGACCGCCCCGCTAAGCTGGACCCTCCTGCCATCCCCGGCAGAGGCTGTTGTTCCTGCTGGCACTCTGCTTGCCAGCTGCTCACAACCTGGGTCCCATCTGGGGGAACATTCGTCACTTTTCCTCTGGAGAAGTCTGCCTCCTCTCCCAATCCCCCCACTCTCGTCTGCTCTGCAGATCAACACGTATCACCCTCCTTACGGCCCAAAATGTGTCCCCAGTCTTTTTCTAGGCTTCATTCAGCCCCTTTAGTGTCTTGCCTAGGACTCATTTTGGCATCTCCATCAGCATCTTTTCTGACCCACCTGTGGACACTTTCTTATTAGTTAATATCTGCCAAAAAAAAATCTATTCCTCAATGCAGTCTGCACTATTGAGAACTACTGAGAACTGTTGTTGCTGTGCTACGGCTAATGTACTGAGTTCGACTGGCTTTTTTGACAGCTATATGACTCCATTTGGGTCGCCTGGAGAATCAAGTCACGTGAAAACACCAGGCTGTTGTAACATACTGACTGCCATGTGAGTTGTATTTCACTCAGGCTAGTGTTAAACCCAGGGCTGCGTGAAGCAAAACCTTTCCGTTGGTTCGTGAAAATCTTACTTGTTGATTTCTTATTATTACAATTAATATTAACAATTTAATCCTAAAAACATGGGTTGTGTTGCATATAACTCAGAAATTAGAAAGGATCATTTTGTTTTAATACAACACCGTGGCCCCCAGGAAAAAAATTTTTTTCTAGTGTGGCAATCAATGTATTAAACTGAAATATTTCAATTCAGAGCAACTCCTTCCCCCTGAAATTTTATTTTTGAATGATATTTTAAAAATGCACTCGAGATTTTGCAATACAATTCTCTGTGTTGGTTTCAGGGCAGCATCCATTTGAGTCCTGACCATGGGGTGGCAGCATTGTATGTGGTGTTCCAAGAGGCTTGTTGACTTATTTGGAATAGTCTCCCCATCCCCCTATCCTGGACACCCTGGAATCAAGGAAAATACACAGGCTAAAGGAGCTATTTCCTGATGATGGCTCTGAGACACACAAATGATCCTGGATAGATCATTTGATGCTGTTTCCTAATATTTTAATAGAAATTTTAATACTAATCTTGATCATACCACAGGGAATTTAGGAGAACAATTAAAATAATGAACATGAAAGAACTTTGCAAACTATAAATGGATGCACAGAGGATTGTCAGGATGGTGAAGTTCATCATCAATGCCATCACCTAGTCAGTATTTTGACCTCAAACCTCAGAAAATGTCATCTAGGACAGAAAAGATGTCAGAGAATTGGGGCAGTTTTAGCAAAAGCCAGGTTATGATTTACCAGAGACAAGAACAGTGCATGGGGGATGGTCGTGGTGAGAGTACCCTTCTCTGGGATGAAGGAAAAGAAAGAAGGGAGGGCGGGGGTGGGGCAGGGCAAGGGAGGAAGCTGCCACAATATGTCCTGATAGTGTGAAAATGGATGGTTTTCCCTAAAGAGGGCAAGGAAAATCCACTGAATAAATAGAAAAATGTGCAAAAGATAGAAATAACAGAACCAAACGTAAATAGCAAATAAACAATGAAAATCAACAATGTTTTAATTCAATGGTAATCAGTAAAACACAAGTTTAAACCAATTAAGATATCCTTATTTATGCACATAACGGTGACAAGAAATTAAAAGTGCAATATCATCAAGTGCCTGTGAAGATTCTTGGAAATCCTTACGTATGGCTGGTACAAACATGAGCAAACACAAGCCCCGTGGAGTCATCTTTGCCAATAGCTAGGTCGGGTGGGAAATGTATATCCCAGATAAATTGTTGCACTATGCTGGATATTATTGCACTGAGCAGGAAATGAATTTATCTTGAGTTTGTCTTGAACTTGATTCTTTATCTTCAATCACGGCATCACCTTCTCTCCAGCGACTGCTCCGTCCGGGTCCTCCTGCACTGCTTCCTGTCAGGGCAGTAACTCGACTCCCCAACCCCCAGTTACCCCATCCCATTGGAAAGTACATTGTACCTTTCCTCTTTGACAATGGAATGTCCACCAGACACAAAGAGTTTCTGGGACTAGAAATCCCCAGTGCTTCAAACAAAACAATGTTATTTACAGCAAGGCAATTTTTCCCCCTATATTCTGGCAAATTCAAAGAGACATTTTGATTCCAATTTTTTTAAAATGTCCCACTCTTTGTTCCATGGAAGAATGCTTTCTTCATTCCATGCCTTTCAAGTTGGGCGGGGGATAATCAACTGATTTATTTCAGAACATTTCCTGCTTTTCTGTAAGCTGAGAAAAAAAAAGAAAAGCAACAGGGCATTATGTTAGCATGACCTGGCATTGCCTGGTTTGCTTCAAGTTACTTACAGATGATGGGAGATAAAATGTGAGTCAGAAAATTAGCCGTGGAAGTGGATCATCTAAGGATAATTATTCTTAGGTCTCTGAGTTGAGGAGCTCTCAGGCCCTACCAGCTCCCACGTGATCACTTGCTGTTTATCTTTTTCCCATTTTTCTTCCAGAAGAGAATGGAAGGGCCCCAGAAGAGCAGATATGGAACTATGGCTGAAGGTAAGAAAGCCATGAAGTTTTCAAGAGCTCCAGATGCTTGGGGGGAGTCAACAGTTCTCTCCCTACCTATCCCCCACCTCAAAGACAGCGGCAGAGAGCCAGTCATTTCCAACTGAAGAAGAAAAAGGCAACAACTATCACTGGGTTTCACCTTCCCAATCCTCTTGTGCCTCACCACACCACTGTCATCACACACACACACACACACACACACCCCGCAGTACGATGCTCTCCCCTGCACAGGGTACGAGGGAAATGTGGAAATGAATCTTTGAGTCAAAGGTCGGAGGGTCTAGAGCCAAACTGTGAATATGGTTTCTCTGTCCTTGTTTGCTCTTAGCTGAAAAGAAGGAAAGTTCCCCCTGGAGATGTGCTCGTGTTTGCTACAAAACACTACAGAATACTTAGGGAAAGGAAGAACCAACACAGAGGAGGATGAATAAATAATCCCTTCTTAGGATCCTAAAATTCACTTAGAATTCATGTGGGCTCATGGGGACTCTAGAAGTCTTCATGCCTTGAAGATTCCAGCTCTTGGCTCAGTGTGGCCCCCTCCGTCCCCACTTGTATTAGAATTTCTTGTACTTAGACAATCTTTCTAACACACAAGCCTCTAATGGTCTTATCTGACACCCTCTTCAGCCATAGGGTCACGCCCCAGATGTTGTCCTAACATCAACTGCAACTCTCCATCATCTCAATTTCAAGCTCCCACTTCCCATCCAAAGAGTGCGGGCCCAGGGACATGCAGCTGGCCCTTGGCGAGCGGGGGTCACAGCACCTCTGCCAGCCCTGCACCCTCATACCCACATGAACTCGCCAGGCACGTCGGCACAAGTGTGCCTGGGAATTTGGGGGTGGCAGAGAGGTGATCCTGTCTTCTCATTTGTGACGTTTCATCCCTTGCCTCCCTCTAAACTCACAATATTTTCTTAGCAACCAGTTCTCCAAGGAGCTGGCCTGAGCCCCACGCGGGGAAAAGCACAGGGAACAGTTTCCTTTCAGAAAAACTCTCTTCGCCACGATGCGGATGAAGTGCCCGGTGCACCAGCGAGTGTGGCGGGTCTGACTCCTGGCTGTGGGTTGAAGCGTGGGCGGCCAATGGGGGCTTCCTGCATCCAAGAACCACCTAGGGTTGTGTGCGCATTTTCGTGTGCGAGTAAATATGCCCGCCTTTCTGGCATGGAGGTGCATAGCTGTCATGAGATGCCCAGAGGATTCATAACTTAACAGTCTTAAGAATCACCAACTTAGGAAGACACAAACACTTCTCTTTTTGTTTCTTACGTACATTAGAAGATAACCAGTTTGCAACATCACCCTCCTTGAGGATCATCCTGGTGGGCAAAACAGGCTGCGGGAAAAGCGCCACTGGGAACAGCATCCTGCGCCAGCCAGTGTTTGAGTCCAAGCTGGCGGCCCAGCCGGTGACCAGGGCGTGCCAGGCGGAGATGGGCACATGGCACGGGAGGAACATCCTGGTGGTGGATACACCCTCCATCTTTGAGGCCCAGGCCCAGGACACGTGCAAGGACATCGGGGACTGCTACCTGCTCTCGGCCCCGGGGCCCCACGTGCTGCTCCTGGTGACCCAGCTGGGGCGTTTCACGGCCCAGGACACGGCGGCCGTGAGGAGGGTGAAGGAGGTGTTTGGGGCAGGGGCCATGAGACACGCGGTCATCCTCTTCACCCACAAGGAGGACCTGGGGGGCGAGCCCCTGAGCGACTACGTGGCGGGCACGGACAACCGCAGCCTGCAGGGGCTGGTGCGGGAGTGCGGGAGGCGGTACTGCGGCTTCAACAACCGGGCGGGCGGCCAGGAGCAGGAGTGGCAGCTGGCGGAGCTCATGGCCCTGGTGGAGAGGCTGCAGCGGGAGTGCGAGGGCTCCTTCTACACCAACGGCCTCTTCCTCGAGGCCCAGATGCTCCGGCGACGCAGGGACGGTGCCTGCCACGAAGACCATGGAGCCTACGGGCAGTACCTGGCCAAGGTGAAGCAGCAGGTGGAGAAGCACAAGCGGGAGCTGAGGGAGGAGGAGAGGAACTGGGTGTGCAAGGCGCTCCTCAGGGTCGAACACTGGGTGGCTTCGAACATTGTAACATCTGCCTTCATTGCCATATGTGTCTTGATTTTTCTTGCCATTGTAATTGCCTTATCTATTGCTCATGGAAACTGAGTGTTTTCAGGGGATTGCTACAATCTGCCTGTTTTTCTTTTGCAGAGTCAGCATCTCTATGTGTATACAGCACTGTGCATAATTTCTTTCTCAGTTTCTCTTTCTTACATCAAATGTGCCATCCACTTCCCTTAAGTGCTTTTACGTAAATAAAATCCAGTGGTAAAAAAAAATTCTCTTTTGTTAAAAATTGTGAGGGTAGACAACAGACCAGCTGTGCACTGACATGGAATATTTGGGGCTCACAAGAAGGAAGGTGCATGGACTGTTATGCTCTGAGACTGTCTTGCCCCTGGCCCCACTTACTATAGCCGAGATGTCAAGGGGAGAAACATGTTATTTGAAAAGCTGCTAGCAAAATGCCTTATTCTTATTTCTTTTTAGGGACAGGGTCTCACTCTGTGACCCAGGATAGGGTATAGTGGCGTCTTCACAGTTCACTGCAGCCTTGATCTCCTGGGCTCAAGCAATCCTCCCACCTCAGCCTCCTGAGTAGCTGGGACTACAGGTGCACATCACCATGCCAGGCTCATTTTTTAAATTTTTTGTAGAGACAGGGGTCACTATGTTGCCCAGGTCAGCCTCGAACTCCTGATCCCAAGCAATCCTCCTGCCTCGGCCTCCCAAAATGCTGAGATAACAGACACGAGCCACCAAGCCCAGTGTGAATGCCTATTTTATTCATAAACATACCCTGATTTCATCGTGGCTGTAGAAGGACACGCCATCACCACCCCCGCCTCTTAGGGCAAAGATGATGAATAGGGTCTCCTGAACCAACTGGGGGTCCTGGAGGTGTGGAAGAGGTCGGGGGGCCTGGGGCCTGGACATTAGGGGACAGGGAGCAGGGTGGCAGCGGCAGGGTAGGGCTCTGCCTCCAGGAGCGCAGGGTCAGCAGGCGGGAAATGCAGGAACTGGGAAGCGCTGAAGCAGAGGCAAAGGGCCAGGTGGTAGATATCTTGGACTCAGCAGAGCGGTGGACTCTCAGCTACTCGACTCTGCCCTTTGTGAACAAAGTTCTCTGAAAAGGAATTTGGAGGGAAGAGACTTGATTCCAGTAAACAATTTGCCAACTGGGGAGAGGCAGGCTCCGGTATGAAGGTGGATTCCAAAGAACAAAGAGGGAGCTGGGGTTTTGTAGCAAGAGTTCCCGCCCAGGTCCCCAATCAGGTCCATCTGTGCGAATGAAGAATTGGCATTTACTTAGTTCTGATGGGTCTATACAGCTGAGCCCTGAGAGGCCCAGGGCTAAACAGCCAGGTGGGTTATTTGGGAAACTGAGAGAGCCTGTGTGATCTCTAGTCAGCAAATGGCCGCTTGGCTGCATTTTCAATTTAGGCCCGGCTCGCCACCGGGAACCCATCGGGAAGGATTAGCTCTTTCAGGCTCACATGTGTTCTCACCTTGTAGGCAAAAGCCACCATGAAGAAGATGCAGGTGATATGCCACGCTGCAGCCCCGAGGAATTTTACGAGCAGTAAATTTTGAATTTCACATAATTTTCACGCGGGCAGATGAAACATTATTCCTCTGAGTCTTCAGCCCCTGAGACATGTAAAAGCCCTTCTTAGCTCACAGCTGCACACGGCCGGCAGAGGGCCAGATTTGGGTCGGGTGCTGTGATCGGTTTCAGAGTAAATTCTGCGCCGCTCGCCGTGCCGCGCTGTAAAGCGACATCTTCAACCGCAAACTCCATACGGTCCAGCACAATCTCCTGTGATGTCCGCAGAAATCTGGGGGAAAAGGTGGTGTTGCACGTTTTTTAATTTCTTTTCTTTCCTTTTATTTCAGCATATTACAGGTGTACAAATGTTTAGGTTACATATATTGCCCTTGCCCCACCCGAGTCAGCCCTTCAAGCGTGTCCATCCCCCAGACGGTGCACACCGCACCCGTTATGTGTGTATACCCAACCCTCCTCCCCTCCCATCTGCCCAGCACCCGACGAATGTTATGACCACGTGTGCACTTAAGTGTTGGTCGGTTATTACCAATTTGCTGGTGAGCACATGTGGTGCTTGTTTTTCCACTCTTGGGATACTTCACTTAGTAGCACGGGTTCCAGCTCCATCCAGGATGATACAAGAGGTACATTTTTGTTTAAGAGACAGGCCGGAGTGCAGAGTGCAGCGGCCATTCACTGGTGCAATCATAGCACACTGCAGCCTCGAACTGCTGGGCTCAAGTGAGCCTCCCCCCTCAGCCTCCCGAGTAGCTGGGACTTGAGGCGGGCACCACCGCACTGGGCTCCGGTGTTCCATATTTCGATGGCAGCAAAGGGAAGAAGGCAGACTCTGGGGTGAAATACGAGCAGAGCTTGAGCTTCAGTGGAAATGGAATCAGATGAGTCCGTGGGATCCCTCCCGCACCTGCTCCTTGTGGGTAGCTGCTGGCGTCTCTGACCCTCCGTGCCCTGGAAGGGAGACCTGCCGTCGTCCTGGGCGGCCTGTGACGGATGGGCGAGTGACAAGTATAGGGTGAATCTGAGGAACTCCACTGCGATGCCTCTTAGTGCCCTTCTCCAGCCCCACCGTTGGCAACGAAGCCCCAGCGTGGCCTCTGCGGCGCCGACTCCTGCGTCTAGCACAGACCTAACTCCAAACGCGCGCAGAGTGTTAGGCCTGGCAGCGCAAGGCGGCTCCACAGACATTTACTGCACGAGTGCTGGGTGTCGGGGTCGGTGCTCGGCGCCGGGAATGTCAAGTAAAGAATACCAGGTTTCCGCGCCACAGGAGTTACCGTGGGCTGGGGGGTGAAGGCATGTAGCAATGGAGTTATAGGAGGAGGCTCCTTTTGGAAGTGATGTCGGCAAGAAGGAGACCGCAGCAGGCTCTGCAGAGGCTTCCCAAGCCGCGGTGGTGACGACGCTTCGGCTCACCAGGGACGTGCTCACCTCCCAGGGGAAGTCACCAGAGGCTGAGGGGCCGCGAGGATCAGCACGTGGGCGGAGGGTGCAGGGAGAGACACAGCTGGGCAGGGGCGGGGGGACCTCCTAAACAGCAGGAAGTCGCTGGAGGCCGTTGGGCAGGTTGGTGTACCTTGGGAAGGGCGGTGGCGGCAGCGTGGTGGTTGGGTTATGTAAGCATCGTTCTGGAGACAGGGATGACGTTTAGAGGGAAAGAACTCCGTATCGACACCAGGACCTGCGCTACAACAGCAATGGGGACGAAGAGGACAGATAGGGGACACCGAGGAGCTGGGTCAGGCGTCACGGCCAACAACCGCAATACCACTCAGGGAGGGGACCCGGTTCTGTCCTGGGGGACCCTTTGAAACACGGCCCCCTTCACTGCAGTGGCCCTTCAGGGAGCGTGGGCTGAGCAGAGAGAGGCGAGGGTTGGGTGTGGATGTGCTCATCGGTTCGGTAGCCCATGGCTGGGCTCAGCCTCCCTCCAGGGAAGGCATTCCGACTAGGTGTAAACCTGCCCCGAGCAAGTGTCAGGAGCCGGCTGCAGGAGCGGGGCCTCCCTCCAGGCTGGGGCTGGTTCATTCCCAGGCCTCTGTCCGCTAATGGGGGTCACTTTCACTGTGAGCAGAGTCCCTGGTACCCAGCTGGCATTCCTGCCATTGTCCTCCAGGGGGACAGAGCTGGAGAGTTGACCCAAGGACAGGCATGACTGTTTGCCAAAGTGATTCCTTGGCGAGTGTTCAAATGTGAGCTCTGTTGCTCTCGGGCTTCCTGCCAAATTGTGCACCGAGAAACACCCCCCCCCCCCCCCCCCCCCAGACCCTCCCAGACCGTCCCAGGCAGCCAGACGCGGCCCCCCCCCCCCCCGCCTGGAGGCGAGCACATTTCCTCTGCCCTCTCCCACTCCCATTTGTCGAAACAATCCAACCAAAAGTGTTTTGCTTTATTCAGAGGTGAGCAAACGTCTACTACATAGCAAGCACTTTAGTAGGAGAGGGAGAGTAACCTAATTCCAGGAACAAGAAAAGACAAACCTATTCATTTGTCCTGGGTGCCATTTCCTCAAAGGGAGCATGAGCACAGGGTAAGAAAGGAATAGTCCAGATGTTTCCAAATGCAGGCAAGAGACCTGAAACTCAAATAGCTTAAACAATTAGGAAATTTCTTGGCTGCCATGACTGGAAACGCAGAGAAAGGATGGGCTGGCTGGTTCCATCTCTCAGTTCCTCTTGGCAGTGCTGCCTTCAACCTCAGGTTGGGGCACAACCACTGGCAAAACTCCAAGCATCACGCCCACACCAACGGTGCCCAGCAGAAGAAGAGAGACTGCCTCTTTCTGTGGGTCTCTGCCAGGAAAGGAGACCCCTCCGCAGACTTTTACCTCTCCTCACTGGGCTGCGCGGGTCAGGCCAGTTCCTGAACCATCACAGGCAAAGAGAACGGGTCAGGCTCCTGGAGCTGAGGCCCCGGCTCACGTGCGAGGGCTGGAGCCCTGAACGCAGCCGTATTTTGACAGGAAGAAGCTGCACAGAAAGCAAGCAGTGTCCTCTGCAGACCCGAGAGTCTGTTTCTGAATCGATAGTGCTTAGAACAGGGTGCTCAAACTTATTAAACAGGGGGCCAGTTCACTGTCCCTCAGACCGTTAGAGGGCCAGACTATAGTTTAAAAAAAAAAAAAAACTATGAACAATTTCCTGTGAACACTGCACATATCTTATTTTGAAGTAAAAAACCAAACGGGCAAAAACACCCGCATGTGGCCCGAGGGCCGTAGTTTGAGGACGTCTGGCTTAGAACAATGAAGCCAGGAGGTGATACTTCAGAAATGCTCTAAAATACAAAGCATTAAAGATGGTGAAAGATGATTAGGAAAATAAGAATAATTAGTAAGCTGCACCAAACAACAACGAACCAAGTCTCATAATGCAAAGCCACCCAGTGTTCGACCCTGAGGAGCGCCTTGCACACCCAGTTCCTCTCCTCCTCCCTCAGCTCCCGCTTGTGCTTCTCCACCTGCTGCTTCACCTTGGCCAGGTACTGCCCGTAGGCTCCATGGTCTTCGTGGCAGGCACCGTCCCTGCGTCGCCGGAGCATCTGGGCCTCGAGGAAGAGGCCGTTGGTGTGGAAGGAGCCCTCGCACTCCCGCTGCAGCCTCTCCACCAGGGCCATGAGCTCCGCCAGCTGCCACTCCTGCTCCTGGCCGCCCGCCCGGTTGTTGAAGCCGCAGTACCGCCTCCCGCACTCCCGCACCAGCCCCTGCAGGCTGCGGTTGTCCGTGCCCGCCACGTAGTCGCTCAGGGGCTCGCCCCCCAGGTCCTCCTTGTGGGTGAAGAGGATGACCGCGTGTCTCATGGCCCCTGCCCCAAACACCTCCTTCACCCTCCTCACGGCCGCCGTGTCCTGGGCCGTGAAACGCCCCAGCTGGGTCACCAGGAGCAGCACGTGGGGCCCCGGGGCCGAGAGCAGGTAGCAGTCCCCGATGTCCTTGCACGTGTCCTGGGCCTGGGCCTCAAAGATGGAGGGTGTATCCACCACCAGGATGTTCCTCCCGTGCCATGTGCCCATCTCCGCCTGGCACGCCCTGGTCACCGGCTGGGCCGCCAGCTTGGACTCAAACACTGGCTGGCGCAGGATGCTGTTCCCAGTGGCGCTTTTCCCGCAGCCTGTTTTGCCCACCAGGATGATCCTCAACGGTGATGATCCTGGGGTTACGACGCCGTCTCCCCGGCCTGTTAGAGAGCATGGAAAGTTGATGTTCGATGAGCACTTTGTGAAGAGGAGGAGAGCAAAAGACAAAAAAGGAAAAACCCAGAACTGACATCCTGAATCAACGGGGACACCGCACCCTCCGCTCCCACCCCCTGACACCCGTATCCAGAGAATGGGGGAACTCGCTCGGGGGGTGTGGAATAAGTCACTCCAGCTGGCCAGAGTCCTGGGGACTTTCCTTCTGGGACTGCCGGATCTGCCCCCTTAGCAGAGCCTTTGGGGGCCCAGGGCCCACGCGCTGCCCCGGCCGCTCAGAGCTTCCTCTGGCCATTCCACTTCCCCCAGCCCTGCCTGGTCTCTGTTTGCACAATGACAGAGTTTTGTGTGGAAAAACTTGCCCTCACTAAGGAGAGCATGATAGCTAGTAGCTTAATATGTGCTATGTCCTGGGAGGAAATGCATTTTGTTTGTCTTGGGGTGAATATAGTCTGGCGCCTCCCCCTGCCGGGTGGGAGGTTCGCCCCAGGGCTGAGTCTGCGGCCCTTGGCTGAGCTGAAGAGTCCTCCTGGTGCGGCCTCCTTACCTGCAGGGAAGGTACCTTCTTCGGCCTTCGGAAGCCCTTCCATTTTGTTCTATGGGGGGAAACATACAGCGTGTTCACACTGGAGGTGGGTGTAATAGCCAACACAAAACACCACATTGACATTTGATAGATGAGGAAGTTGAGATAACGAAAAAATCCCTACTCCAGGTCTGCCGACCCTCAGACATTCCCAGCAGTGGCCTGAGCTTCCTGCTGGAGAATGTGCAGACAGCCCCGAACGTGAGCCCAGGCACGTGTTTCCCACGACCTACTGGCCTGGGGGAGGCGTGGAAATGTGCCGTCTGCCCGGACGACCAAGACGGCCAGCCAGCCATTCCCTCCTCATCAGCTGGCTGTGTGGGGCTCTCGTCTGCCTTTAGGGTCTTAGGGCAGGTGTGCAAACTAAGGTTTGTCTGGCAAAGTGTCCCCCTCCAGTATACTCACGAAAGAAATTCTTCCCTAAGTTTCCAGGCGATGGTGGTACAAAGGGTGACCAACCACCCTGGTCATGCCAGGACTGAGAGGATCCCTTGATCAAAGGACTTTCAGTGCTGGGCCTGGGGCAGCCTGGGGCACCCTGGCAAACCAGGGTGAGTTGTGCAACCCAAGAGTAGGGATTGTCATGAGTCCCGATAGGGGGCGGGAGGGTAGGGTACATAACTGGAGGGAAGAACTGATTTGCTGGGCGTTGTTAGGGACCGGCTTCCTGCACCCCGCCAGGCAGACGAACAAAGACACCAAGGATGCAATCACTCAAGAGGAGCTTTATTTTCTGGCTAGCCAGGGTCCAGGCCCTAGAGTGCCAGCGCAGTGGTCGCTCTTACAGGCAAGGACCCTGACCAAAGCTGGGGCTGCCCTTTTATCCCCCCTCCCTCTTGAACAGCCCCGCTGCACAAGCTGATTGTGCGTGCTAGTCTTTAAAATGATTGGTGGACTGGTAGCCTGCCAGCGGCAAGGGGCCTTTCTCCCTTATCTGGCACCGTACCTATGCGTCTAGCTGCAAGCAAGCGATTCTCAGAAGCAGAAATATGCGTTTAGCCGATAGCTCTACCTTTGGGCCCCAAGCTAGCAGTTTCCAGAAGCCGATTACTCCTCCCCTGGCCAATTTTCTGTTATCCGGGCTGGCACAAGTGAGCCAGCAGCTTTGGGCTGCAACCAGGCCCTTACAGCGTTAGCACACCACCCGCTCCTCCCAACTAGGAGGACGCTCAGACTTCCGGGGTTACGTACTACAAAAGTGACACGAAACCAGGTCTGTGCCCGAGACACGGGTGACAGCTGTCGGGGCGATGCCCCTCCCCCGCCCGGCACCTGCCGCCACCCAGGCCACGCGCCCCCCGGGCGACCCTGCGAGAATGCAGAATCCAGCCTGCGCAGAAAGGGAAGTGAAAAGGGGGCTTCTTCCTGGACACACCGAAGCGGTCTCAGGTTCCTTATTTATTAGTGCCTTTCTGAGGATTTTTTCCGCTCCAGTGGCAGAGCTGCCTCTCCAGCCCCAACCGCTGCTCCTCCCGCCAGAGGCTGTCCAGGTTTTCCCGGGACACCCCGCCCCCACTCGGCCCCGCAGGTCACCCTCCCGCACCCCCCCCACTCGGTCCCGCAGGTCATCCCCCCACCCCAGGTCACCCCGCGGCCCCACCCTGCTCTCTCCCGCACCCCCCCCACTCGGTCCCGCAGGTCACCTCGGTCCCGCAGGTCACCCCGCCCCCCCACCCTGCTCTGTCCCGCAGATCACACGCCCAAGGGCGCCCCTCCGCCCAGACACCGCTTGCTCGGTGCCGCCCCCAGAGCCGGTTGGTGGCCAGCCATCAGTCTACCGCGCTCACTGCAGATCCATCAATCTTTCCATCAATTCACTAGAAATGTTATTAAATACCTCTATTTATCAGGCGTTTCTCGCCTTTGGAGGATGGTTGGACAAGTTTAAAGACCATCTGCCGCCCGGGCGGGGTGGCGCACGCCTGTAGTCCCAGCTACTCGGGAGGCTGAGGCAGAAGGATCACTTGAGCCCAGGAGTTTGAGGTTGCTGTGAGCTAGGCTGATGCCACGGGACTCTAGCCGGGCTAACAGAGTGAGGCTCTGTCTCAATCAATCAATCAATCAATCAAAAGACCATCTCCTGCCCCAGACTGGGAAAGCAGCACCTGTGAGCTAATGAGAGTAGCGAATACCTCCTCCGCCCTCCTGGGAAGCCCGCGGGCCATAGACACTCCTGTGCAGGACCCCAGAGGATGGGGTAGGGGTGGGGTGGGGGGTGATGGTGGCCCGGTAGAGGTGGGGCCCTCCCTTGGACACAATGTGAAAGGCTCTGACACCGCTTGGCTGACCTTGTGCAGACTGTCTCACTCTAATTTGCCAAAAGTACTACTGATGCTCTGCTACGTCCCTGTCCCTCACGAGTGTCCAGACGACAGTGGCATGCTGGTTAAGAAAACATCGTGTGCCCTGTGAGAATCCGCCTCTGCGAAAGGGCTCCCAGTCAGAGTAATTTCTCAGTACTAATGCCCTGGTCGTTTATAACTACATTCTGGCTAACCAGGAGGTTTTAACTAATTCTTTTTTAAAAATTTTATTTCTTTATCAGAAAAAAGAAAGCAAACGTTTTATGTGGGCAAATCAACTTGAGTCCTATTCCTCAAATTGTTCTCCCCCCTTTAAAATGACCTTCGCCACCAAGTTGAGCGTGTAGTCAACAACAAACAGCAACGAGAATGAAATAAGATTGAAATCCAAAGGTGAATTTTCAGCCTGTTCTTCAAAGGGCACCCCAGGACCTGGGGGGGGGGTGGGCAGGGGGCAGGAGAGGGGGTTCAGGTGATCTTCCCTTGCCCTGCAATGTGTGAGGAAACCCGTATGTGCACCCAGCCAGGGCACAACAGTCACTATGTGCACATACGAAAACGCTTTTGCACAAACACAAGAAATAAGCTCATTGTATCACCAAAGGGACACATCTGGGCTCATTCTGTACAAAATTTTAGGTTCTGAAAAATACACCACCAGTAATACTTTCAGTTTGCACCTATTTGGGACTTAGAGTATATAACTCTTGGTCATAATATAGGAATAAGGAGATTGAGGCTTAGAAAGGTCACAGCGCCTTCTCTAGGTTGGCACAAATTGTTACTGGGAGGAATGAGGAGGGAGGGAGAGAGGAAGGGGGAGAGAAGGAGAGAGAGAAAGCAAGGGGAGGGGAGGGGAGGGAAGGGAGAGGAGAGGAGAGAGAATGAAAGAAAACAAAACAAGTCCTGTTACCTGGTAGGTCCTAGACTATCTGGCCAGGTCTGCAGAGGGTCTTGGGGCAATCCTCCCTCCTCTCCTGGGCAGCCTCTCTCATTGGTTTCTAGTCTCTTCATAAAAACACAAGAGCAGTGAGAGATGAAAAAACTGTCCACAAATTTTGCCTGCCAGATAGAAGGACCCTGTCCCCTGGGGACAGGAAAAAAACAATGTGTGTGGGTTTCCTCTAAAAGCTGTCCTCAGAAAGTGACCCAGAAGCCCTCAGAAACAGCCACAGGAAGAGGTTTAAAAAAAAAAAAAAAAAAAGCAGCTCTGTTTCCTTTTCCCCACCGCACCTCTGCAATGCTCTGTGCAAGACAAACTCTCCACCGGAATAAGCAGAACAGTAACCCGACGAAGCGAGTGAACATCTACAGCCTGGCTGCACCCCCCTCCCGCCACCAGCTGCCTGTCACTGGCCCAAATGGGACCAACACACATTTGCCCACCCCTGCCATTTACCTTTTTCCTATAAAGGTAGTTTCTTATGTGGAATTCTAGAAGGCAGTGAGGGCTGAACCCAAGGGGCTCTCCAGGTTCCCGTGCACAAGGAGCAGGCATTGAGACATTCTGTCTCCCTCTCATTTCTCTGCCAAATGCCCTGCCCTTGCGTTTCCCACCTCTGAGCGGGAAAAGAAGGCTTAGTAGGTTTCCCCACCCAGGAGGACATCATTCCCACAGGAACCAGGGAGACATCTGACCCACCCGTGGTGAGATTTAGGAAAAGTGACAATGCTTACTTAACCGGGGGCTTGGCAGAGGAGGAGGGGGTGCCCTGGGCCCCTCACACTGCCATGGCTAACACCACCCCCCTCCACATCCTGGCCCCCAACCCAGCCTCTGTGTTGGGGGGATGGGGCCTGGAGCTTCTCTCTAGAGACTCTCAGGTGAATGGGGCAGAGCTTGATCACTTACTTGCATGTTTAAGTTCGGATTAATTTTTTAAAGATACTATAAGCAGGAAAGTGAGATACAGGTAACTCATGGTGTCTTGTTTAGTTTGGAGAGGTGGGCAGCTCTACAAACACACAACACACAGACAACACACAATCACATTTTGCAATGATAATCAGGATTGACTTCCCAATTGTTCTCCCATGTTGAGGCTGTAGTTTTAACTTTTCAAATAATAATAGCTATTATCCTGAGGTGGATGCATGCCCTTCTGCTAGAGAGGACAAAAAGGCAGGCTTTTAACATAGTATAAAAGATACTATTCTCGTTTAGCTATCTAACAATGTCTCTGATATCTCATTTTGGACAGAGAAAAAAGAACTGTAGCCTAAAGGCCAGTTCCTCTAAAACAAAAATAATTATTTTAGGTAAACATTTATCAGCTCTGACCATGGCTTATCATGAATGTTTTTCTACCTGAAGTCAATGTATTAAGCTATCTTAGCATATATTTTATAATTACTTGATACACAAGAAAGGGACATTGCTCAAAGGTAATCAAAGCCACACATGCCTTGTTGAACTTTCATGATTGAGGTAAGCATGGAGTTTTACCTGCCTTAAGATATCTGAGGAAGGCCGGGTGCAATGGCTCCCACCTGTAATCCCAGCACTGTGGGGGACCCAGGCAGGAGGATTGCTTGAGGCTAGAAGTTTGAGGCTGCAGTGAGCTGTGATCACACCACTGCACTCCAGCCTGGGAGACAAAGAGAGACCCTGCCTCAAAAATAAAATAAAATAAAATAAAATAAAAGATATCCAGACATCACGTGTCCAAGGTTTGGAGAGAAGACTGGATCCTGATCAGCTACTCTCTGTGCATTAGAGAAAATGCAAACTGACCACTGAAAGAAGAATCTTGATCTGTCTTTAGGCATTGCCTCAGCTGCGCTCTAGGCTGAGATGGGATGACTTTCTATTTGAGTCCATTGAATGCCTTTTCCTCTAGCCTGCTCATTCATCTACGTAGTTCATCTACTAGTTGATTTTTCTGTTAAGTTATATATACTTTTCTTGTTGAATAGAGAAATCCCTATGACCTCCTGTATGTCACGTGCCCATTTACAATCCTTTTGTGCCCCTTTCTTTTCCATATTCAGAGTTTTATGACCCTCAGGCCTTCTCTTTTCCTTTCATTGTTCACTGGTGGAATTCTAGCACTGGCCCTTCAAATAGCAGCGCTTCTCATTGCCGGTGAAAGAATTATCGGCAATAAAGGGGGGAAGTATTCTTTTCTCTGACACCTACAGAGAAAAACATTAAATATTATCTCTATAAGAGTGTGTGAGACGCCGGGCGTGGTGGCTCACGCCTGTAATCCTAGCACTTTGGGAGGCCGAGGTGGGCGGATTGCTCAAGGTCAGGAGTTCGAAACCAGCCTGAGCGAGACCCCGTCTCTACCAAAAATAGAAATAAATTAATTGACCAACTAAAAATATATATACAAAAAATTAGCCGGGCATGGTGGCGCATGCCTGTAGTCCCAGCTACTCGGGAGGCTGAGGCAGGAGGATCGCTGAGCCCCAGAGATTGAGGTTGCTGTGAGCCAGGCTGACGCCACGGCACTCACTCTAGCCTGGGCAACAAAGTGAGACTCTGTCTCAAAAAAAAAAAAAAAAGAGTGTGTGAGATAACTAGTGCTTGAAAATTGTATCTCTGTCCTGTGAAAATAACCTTTCCTCTCTAAAAGTTTTATTTCATAATGCATTTTCCTAGTAGCGAGATGTAAATTGAAATCTGGTCATTCCTAACAGGTCTAAATATTTGTAAGATTTCTTGGACAAATCCAAAGGGAATCCCTGATACATCCCTATTTTACTGCAGACATTCAGGTAAGGAAATAAAATAGTCAAAGAGTTTGAGAATCTTACCTCATTTATATCTACAGTATGACAAGTAAAAGAGAACTGTCAACTGTGGTCAAATGTCTTGCAAATACTGCCCCCTGCTGTTTGTCTCTCACATTAGTTGTGGTAAGTTTTTTGCTCAGTCATAAATGTTTTCTTCATGGCTTCTATTGTTTTTAGGAAGTCCTCCTTTTTCATTACAGTAGTTAAAAATACATTACTTACATCCATGCAAAAATCTGCATGTGAAGGTTTATAGCAGCTTTATCACAATTGCCAACACTTAGAAACAACCAACATGTCTTTTAATAGGTGAATGGATAAATAAACTGTGGTGCCTTCAAACAACTGAATCTTATTCAACACTAAAAAAAAATATAGCTAACAAGCCACAAAAAGACAAAGGAAACTTAAATGCATATTGCTAGGTGAAAGAAGACAATCTGAAAAGGCTATATACTGCATGATTTTAACTATAGAACATTCTAGAAAAGGCAAAATGATGGAGACGGTAAACTGATGGGTGGGTGCCAAGGGCTCAGGGAGATAAAGGGAGAGATGAATGGGTGGAGCATAGGGGAATTTTAGGTCAGTGAAACCATTCTGTATGATACTGTAATGGTAGATACATGTCACTATACATCTGCCAAAACCCATAGAATGTACAACACCAAAATTGAACCTTAATGTAAACTATGGACTTTAATTAATAACAGTGTATGACTATTGGCACATGAATCTCAACAAATGAACCACACCAATACTGGAAACTGTGGGGGCAGAGGGGTGAGGAGTATATGCAGTCTCTTGGTACTTTCCACTCAGTTTTTCTGTAAACCTAAATCTACTTTTAAAAATAAAGCATACTAAAAAAAAAATAAAGCATACTGTTTATTTTAAAAGGGGGGATGAAAGGAGGAAAAATAGAGAAAGAGGGTATGAAAGGAGATGGGACAGGGAGAGATGAGGTGAGAGGGGATGAGAAGAGACTGGGGCAAAGGGGAAGAGGAAAGCAGGGAGGAGCAGGGAAGGCAGAAGGACTGGAGTCATTTGCACACAGCAAACTCCCCACCCTGTAAGAGCTCACAATAGAGAGACAGCCAAGATCAGAGAAATGAGACCATGATATTTTAAGGTCTTTAACTAAATGTGAATACATACAATATTATTTAATTACATGTTCTGATTAATTTAAAATGCATATTATAAAGCCAATACTCATGACTTAAAAAAAAAATTTTTTTTTAAGAGGTGGGCTCTTGCTCTGTCACACAGGCTGGAGTGCTGTGGTGGAATCAATGCTCAATGCAGCCTTGAACTCCTGGGCTCAAGAGAGTCTCTCACTTCAGCCTCCCTAGTAGCTGGGACTATGGGTATATACCACCACACCCAACTAAAATTTTTTAAAAAGATACAAATAACATCAATGGAGGTGAAAAAATGGAATCACAGAGAAAGCTCAATTAACCCAAAGCAGAAAAAGAGAAAAACATAAACAAAGAACAGATGGATTAAATTTTTTTTTTAAAGCAGCTAACAAGATGGTAGGTTTTAATTCAACCATGTAAATCACCACATTAAATGTGAATGATCAAAATCTACCATTTAAAAGACAGGGTTGTCAGATAGGATAAAAAGGAAATAATCAACAGAGCAAACAGACAAAATACAGAATGGGAGAAAATATTTGCATGCTACATATCCGATAAAGGGTTGATAACCGGAATCTACAAAGAACTCAACCAAATCAGCAAGAAAAATCAAAACCCCATTAAAAAGTGGGCAAAAGACACGAACAGAAACTTTTCAAAAGAAGAAAGACTAATGGCCAACAAACATATGAAAAAATGCTCAACATCCCTAATCAATCAAAATAACCATGAGATATCACCTAACTCCAGTGACAATGGCTTTTATCAAAAAGTCCCAAAACTCAAGAGTCACATTTCAAACTAATTCTCACAAATATCATTCTCTTGCCAATCTGAATCAGAAACAAAGGGACAAGGATAAATTTTGACCTTCCTTTCTCATTTGGACGCTGCAGACAGAGCTAACTTTGGCAAGAATCCTTCCCTTTTGTCACATTCATCAGTTCTCCCGGGACCCCATCCTCGGGTTCCAGAGCCAGTGGGGTAGCCCAGCTTTTTCCCGTCCTGTCTGGGCTTCCAGAAACTGCAAGGTGAGGACAAGATTGTACCTCTGTCCTCTTAGGGATATTTTTTCAGCTTGTCCTGAGAATTAAATTGACATAAGACAGATCAACAGGAGAAAAGCATACAGATTTACTTAGTACAAGTCTTATGTGGTGGGAGAGCCCTTATAAGGAAACGAAGACTCAAAGAAGCTCTTAGAGTCAAACACATACTGAATTGGACAAAGAGTAGTAAGT